TATCAACTTCTCAATGTTTTAAACAACGTATTACAGCATTATATCATACAAAATAAAATAAAAATCTTAACATTTTTGTGTCACAGAAGAGTTATTTTAACATGAACATTACAGATTTTAAAGCGCACATAGATTACAAGTTTATTGAGCATTACCTACTAAATTATATGTAAAATCATTATTAAAGAGTAACATTATACAAAAGTTACATAAATTAATAGATATAAAAGCTAAATATATATAAATTTGTTTGAAATTAAAATGACCGGGGACATAATTTTTTTTAATTTATAAGTATATAAATAATGATTTCATTTCTATCCTGTTGATCAACATAAATGTTCCATGTGATACATAGCTATTGTCGTAGTGTCAGTTTTGATCCTGTTGATAGCCGTCCAAAGTTGTGTCTTCCGCCCATTCATTTGGAGCTTTAGTATTCTAAACGTAGGATCCTCTTCATGAGTGCGATAAATAGTTTGTAATTAAATTGTTTTCTTGAATTTTACCCTTTCATTTTTATTTCTTTTATTTACAACATATATATTTGTACATGGTCCATGCATTTTTGTACAATGCATTTCTTTTTATGATTGTTAACAATATACTCACAAATCATTAAAATCTTGAGATTAAAAGTCACTAAGAGCCAATCCAAAATTGAGAATACGAGGGCTGTTCAAAAAGAATTGCTTATTGTCCTCTATCCCGTGATCCGCTTGGGACACGATAAAACCAATACATACCTGTATAGGGTAATTCAATACCTACACAACGGTGTATAAATGTACATGTTAGACTTAATGTAAGACATACAATTTGCCATTTAAATACACGCAGTCATTGACCACTGTAGTAAAAAATGGTTGGTAGAAGCGTCGACAAAAAAGATGAAATACGGGTTTACATCGAAGCCCGCTCAAAACTGGGTTGCTCTTTGAATCAGTTGATGACTGAACTCTCCTTCTTGTACGTCTTATAAAACAGTTAGGCGATGGAAAAAAGAAATTTGAGTCTGGTGTAGAGCGCATCAAAAATGCATCAAAATCAGGTAGGCCAAAATCTGCATCTCGTAACGAAATCGTTTCCAAAATAAAGGATATCATTGAAGGAGATGCCAAAATTTACAGTTCGTGATATTGCAGGAAAGGTAGGCATATCACTATCAACGGTTCACTTTATTTTAAAGAAGCATTTGAAAGTCAGAAAGATTTCTGCTAGATGGGTGCCACATTATATATGTGTATATAAGTATCGACCGTCATCTTAACTCCATCTCAAATATTTCAATGTTGCAGATCAAAGTATTTAAGTAGTAATCAGTTGATACCTTCAGAACTGTGGAACCCAAAGTGCATTGATATTTAACATATTTACGCTTTTGGGGGTATATTTCTCGAGTCCGACCCCAAAGTGCGTTTGACCGTAAAGATTACAGCACTTTTGGGTCGGACCCTAAAGTATATTCGACCCCAAAGTGCGGTGTTACAAGGCTCTCTAAGTAGGAATTTGGTGAAACACGTGTAAAATGGGTGGGATAGGGTAACATTTTTATACATATTTCATTAATTTTGAGTAAAAAATAATCCTTTTGCTTCTGTGGATTGTTAGCTGAATATTACATTTTTTGTCACAAAAAATTAATAGGAAAACAATTGGATGGTATTGTAGATTATTTAAAGGTTCCTTACTTCTGAAAGAATGCCCTTCTAACATCAAAGATTAAATTCAGAAAAGTGCCCATAACTCGATTTCTGTACGGCAAAGTTTGTTTAAATTTTGCATAAAGATGTCCTTGAAGGTATATATCTAAGCTATGTTGTCAATTTTTCAATTTCTTATAGTGCCTTACTTTGAATTAACTATTCTCGTCATAATAGCCTTTCAGATATTATTCATGGCCGAATGCAAAATTATAATAATTATAGAAATTGTATTCTGTAAGGCGATATTTCAATGTGTTTAAAATATAGTCATCTGTAACGCAAATATGCATGTCAGAAGTAAGTCATACAAAAAGGTTACCCCTTAAAAGGAAGATTAAACAGAAATGCCCATTCGTTCAAATTCCACCGTTACAATTAGAGAACAAAAACCCGGACCTTTCTCATTATTGATTTATTAGTTATAACATTGGAAGGATTTTCTGTTGCTATGCAATAGATATAACATAAATGTCGTCAAGGAAATATTTGTTCTGATTGGTCCTTTAAAGTGCTAGTTTTCTAGAAGCATTCAATTTCTCGATATATAACATAAATCTCAAAAAGAAACGATTGCGTGCAATTAAAACTGAGGTTCGAGGATGTTATAATATAATTGGTATACACATTGGGAGATAAGCTGTTTTAACAAGATGTTTCTTGTGATGTATTCACCTGATCACTATCGGTGTTAATCGTAAATAGACAGAATATTCATTAACAGAATATTCTGTGATAGGTTTAAAGGATATACAACTAATAAGATTTAATACAAAGTTCTTTGGTTTCAAGTTGACAATAACTAGAACGTGATTTAACAGGAACTTTTATGTTTTATTAAGACATAAACAATATGTTTAAAGGAATCGTCACCAACTAAGAGCATTAATGAACTTTTACTTTGTTTTTGGAATATTTCGTTTAATTATTTGATAATTTTGTACATTTGTTGTTTTTATTTGTGTTCAGTGCAATGTTTACGTCAAGATGAGATTTTAACAGAACCAAATTAAGAGTAACAACAGCAGAATCTACAAAACCTACAACAGAAACAGATAACAATAACATCAAAAACATGTGTGTTAATATCTATCAAAAGTTATCTAAAAACGTGTTGTGAGATTTTTAATAAAATTTGTTAATTTACTAGATTATTTTATAACTCATAGCTCATAAAAAGCGCATAAAACGATGATTTATTGATTAATTGATAATAGTATTGTCTGTCAAAAGGTGATTTCATTTCATTGTACTATTCTGCTTTCAAATCACAAATATGTCTTTAGGCATAAATCATAATTAAACGAACATGCCAATGCTCTCTCCAGATTTTCCACAATCACTTACAATATCAAATGAAAAGCATTACTATATCTGATATTTAATATCAGATGTTCAAGGACAAAATATAACAATGATATATTTACGAAGTGTTTCACTTCTTATTTTCGTGTCCCAATTTCTACAAGTATGTTGTACGAACATCACAATAGGACTTTTAATGGAGAGATCAATTAATGCGGATTTTCCTTTTTCTATAAATCGAACGCATGGATTAATCAGTATAGCCAAAAATCATACCCGTCAAATTATGAACAACATAACTAATTTGGAGTTTGTTGTCATCCCCGTTGATGTAACCACATGCACGGCAATGAAATGGGGCGTGGCATTTGCTGAAATGTATTTTCAATACAGACCACATGTTCTGATTGGACCAGGTATGACAATTTTACACATTTATTTCACATGCAATAAGATAATAAAACGAAAGCTGTGGTGTAAGTGTGAAGGAAACATACCTTTTTTCAGAATCTTTGTCAGTGAGTTTCGGTGGTTTATTTTGTGTGTGTGTAAAAGTTGAAAAAAACACACTTATTGGCTGCATCTATTTTAATGGTTATATTTAAATTTTTGTCATATTTAGTGAAAATAAGCCTCTTTCTTTCGGGCTCAATAGTTTTATTTTCGATTAGATCTGTCATGTTTTCTATATTGTAATCACTCGATCAAGGAAACGAATGCTTGTAATTGTATTACATTATATTTAAAAGGACTTTACAGCTATGACAACCATTAAGGCGTTAAAATAAATTAAATAACCCTTGTATTGATACGTTGTAATGTGATAATGAATAAAGGGACTTACAAAATAGTTTTTAATAAGAGCGGCCTATGTGGTGCAGTGATGGTTGCGAGTTGGATCCCCCGCTACTCCACTAAACGAACTAACAATGTTTATGAAAACTTTCAAGTAGGGGACTCTTGTAATGGTTATCCAACACATTGGATATGTTTAAAAACATTGTTGTTTCTTTTGTAATGGGATTATTTCTGTAACGGCTACATATTACAAACCACAGCATCTGCAGTTCTCATAAATCGAACAAATATTCAAACAGGACACATTCACACTGAACAATACTAACACATCAAACACTTACTACTTGAAATATCCCGTCACCATTTAATTCTGGGTGAACACATAAAACACAACTCGCTGAGTATAACATACCTGACTCAATGAACACAACTCACACAACATACTCACAAAGTGAGCACAATTCAGTGAGCACTACTTACTAGCGGAGCATAGCTCACATAGTGAACTCACCTTACATGGCACCATGGTATTATCACAGTCTACGGTAAAATAAAAATTTAAGAATGTCCAAACGGAACATCGTACTAGTTTGAGCAATTTCTTTTAATTTCAGCGATTTCAGGAATCTCGAATATTGGATATCACAATTTCTTTAAGCAGCGTCAATATCATTTGAGAGCACAATCCAACAAGGTTGACCTTTTCTGAACCTCTTGTATCGTGAAATCTCTCTCTTTTTTAATCTGCTTTTCTCAAATGTTTGTTTCATTAATAGGTTGTCCCTAAGCTGTTGAACCAGTATCTAGAATAGTAGTGTCATGTGTAAGCATAACTCAACAAGATTGACCTTTTTTGAACCTCCCGTTTCGTGAAATGTCTTTTTTTTAATCTGCTTTTTTTCAAATGTGTGTTTCGTTGATAGATTACTAGTATTCCTTAGCTGTTTGATCAGGATCTTGTGATGTCATGTGTGAGCATTATTCAACAAGATTGACCTTTTTAGAACCTCCCGTTTCGTAAAATCTCATTTTGTATATGCTTTTTATTCAAATATTAGTTTCGTTGATAGGTTGTTCCCTGGCCGTTGAACCAGTATCTAGAATGGCGGTATCATGTGTGAGCATAATTGAACAAGATTGACCTTTTTTGAACCTCTCATTTCGTTCAATTTCTTTTCATGTGTTTTGTATATAGATGTTTGTTTTGTTATTAGGTTGTTCCTTGGCCGTTGAACCAGTATCTAGAATGGCGGTGTCATGGAACATTCCTCATATTACATACAGCGGTTCGGATGAATTCCTTGGCAACAAAAATGTTTTTTCGATGTTGACACGCACTGGCCTCACTGTGAACGCGCATACACAGGTTTACATTGAGGTATTGGATGAATTTGGATGGACAAATGTTGCAATTATTTACGACATATCAAAGGTTGTGCACAATATGACTGGGGCAAATTTGCAGGTTATTTTGTTTTTGCACATTTTCAGATTTTTAATTACCATTTTTTTCCTCATATTTTTATATTCTTTTCATTATTTTTAAATGCAAAGAAGAGAATTCTATGTATACAAGTTATAGTAGCTCAGTTAGCTCTGTTAAGTTTAAAAGCAGAAACACTGGTATTATGGTAATTTCATCCTTTATTTTATGTAAGCAATGGTCTATAGGCTTTTAATTTTCAGTTATTTTCATTATGCCTGATTTTCCATTGTGACCGTCTTATTTTTGTGCGTAACACTAAGAGTACATTGTTATCTATAAAGCTTGAAATTTAATATAGAGCTATATGACTAAATTAATTAAATTAAAGGTAGTCTGTAAACACAAGACAATCTTCTGGTAGTTCAAAAAGAGAAGAGATCAGTAAAACACGTGTTTTTGTTATACTTCCTCTAAATAGCGACTTAGATTTTATCGAATACAAAAGTACAATAATAGTTGCTTAGTTTACTTAGTTAATGTGTTGGAATAAATGAACGCAATTCCCATTAAAATATTCCCAACTGTCTACATAATTTCATAAATTGATATAAATCAGATTGTTTGAATTCCAGTCTATGTAAATAAGGCGTTTTGACTTTCGTAGGAAAGCTTGCATACTTTTATTTGAAAATAAAGACTTCTTAAAAGAGCTTTATTATTTAGGAGCGTCTAACAATTATGAAATGAATGGTAAAGTATGACTTTACATTAATCTATAAAAAATGTTTATTGCAAAACAAATACAATTTCAGAAAACATATTATTATTGTCACGTATTATCACAACCACCGATGGAATGATATAACATTTATCATGTATATCTGACTTGTATTTCAAATAAAGTATGTCACACTCATGGTAATATCAACGTTAATATTATGATATCTCAAATCACATGATAGATGCTTTTTATAATGAAAATAGGAAAACAAAAGAAAAAGAGTTATAAACTTTCAATAATTTTCCGCCCTTAATCGTTTTTCTTTTCTTTTTTACTTGGCTTCCCGGTGTGCCATTGTTGCTAGATATCGTAAGGGCAACGTACACTTGTTCAACAGTTTTGATCTTTGTGAACACATATTAATGTTTTTAACAAAATATGATTAATAAATCATGATGACAATTAGTTATTTTAATCTTAGCGAGTAAACAATTATACCGGGTTGATATTTTAATGTCCTATAATGTATAATGTCCTACAAGTAACACCAGTTTAGGTTACTGACTCGCGCAGTACATCTGAAACATCTTTACTTACTGACACAAAGAAATACTTCTGAAAAAGAGATTCTGATCAATATAGGGTAATATTTAGCAAATGTCTGTTGCTCAAGATTACAGATCTTTGCAAAAAATAAAGGTTGAAATGAAGAATCTATGTATAAACAGACGAACAAACGCACTGAATTTTTTAACGTTTTGATAACGATCCATCGATCTTGATGTTTCTATTTTGAAGGAGCATGTCAAACTCAAAGTCCCGACACAATGTTCCTGTATCAATAATGAAATTAAATTCATAATTACATTATTTGTACGTGAAGAACATACAAGAATCCATAATGAAATTATTTGTTAGGATCGAAAATACAAGAAACCATAACGAAAATTATTTGTGAGGGGAGACAATAATACAAGTAATCATTAACAAAATTATTTTTAAGAGAAGAAAAATAAATAAAAAAGAATCCATAACAATTTTTTTTTTGTGACAGAAGAGGGAAGAAAATACGAGAATTCATGATAATAAAATCATTTGCAAAAAATAAAATACAAGAATTTATTAATTTTCAAGATTATTTATGGGAAAGAATATGCAAGAAATTCATAACAATTAAGTTATTTGTTAGGAAAGAAAATAAAAATCTATAATAAAACAATAATTATGCTAGGGAAGAAAATAATACAAGAATCTTGATAAAATTATTTGTAAAGGAAGAAAATATAATGAAACAGTTTATAGCTTATCTGAATAATAATAATAATGATAATAATAATAATAATAATAATAATAATAATAATAATAATAATGATCATTAACCAAACAAAGGAATCTATGTTCATCGAGCACTAAAACAACTTATTTTGTTGGCATCAGTGATAATTTTTGAAGAATTATAAAATTCTGAAGCATGTCTTGTGATCTTGAATGAAATTCGTGTTGCTCTTTTTATTTTTATTTTGTTATCAGGAAACATTTAATCAAGAGACTACGCATATAACAGCATTTGCTGCACCTTTTGATGCAAAAGCTGACGACCTTAATAAAGAATTAGTGTCTGCATTTGATAAAGCTATGGGACATGCAAGAGGTAAACAATCTATATATCAATATTGTCAATTTTTCACGATGTCCTCTTATCATTGAACTTGTATCAATGTAACTATTTAATATAATATTACTTGTCGAAATGTAACATATCTGTTCACATCATTATTTTCTAAGGACATAATTATCACACTGTCTTAATTAATGGTTATTTTATCTTTTAACCTGTTTGAAAGTTTTAATATCGAAGTACAAGAACTCAGCTACCGAAAGTATAGAGTCTGGTAACACTTCACGGATATGCAGACACTGGCTTTACACTATACTGATGTCAAAAAATCTTTCTTTTTTTCTTTTTTTTTGGTTCCAGCAGAGTAAACAGAGTAAAGACTATTCCCGCTTCTCCTGTGTTATGAGTTATTTGGCTGACTATAAACATTAATTTCAGCAATATATCAAATTAGAATAAACATAACATTCCTTGATGAAGCAGTTCATCGAAAAAATTTACAGTGTCATTCTAAATTTAATATCATTAAAATAAGATTTCTTGTTATTTAGTGTTCCTAATATTTTGTCACGGTGACGTTTTGAGGGAGTTGGTGCTTGTTGCTGGAAAGTCTGGACTTTTGCCTGGCGAGTATGCACTGATTTATATGTTTGAAGGACATGGCTCTTCAACATTTGGAGAATATACTTGGTACAGGGAAAATTCTCCAAATAATCAGGTATTCAACAAATTTTAGATATAAAACAAAGCAACACTGTTTTTACTTTGGAAAGGATTGTTTCTATTGTAGTACAACAAAATGATTGCCCTGCAGATGTCGTTTATAGATTGAACATTTCCTTTCAGATCAGTCTTAAAGCCATAACTCATTTTAAGGGAACTATTATTTTATATCTTGGCTCACATAATATACTTCTGTGCCAAATTAAACAAATGATGACAGAAATGTTTTACAGATATGCTTTTTCTGAACAAAGACTATATTTCAGGACGTCAGGAGAGGGTATGAATCTTTACTCGTAATAAGACCTCGGAGGCCAACAAATACTGAGTTTGTAAGGTTTGAGGAAGAAATGAAAAAGCGAGCTTTCACAGAATATAACTATACATGGAAACAAGGTTTTGAGGTACATTGTATTTCAACTTTCATTAAAACTTCTTCTCGTTTCGTTTAAATAGAACTGTGAATCAATATAAAAAAACATCATATACTCGTAATGACATTTTCAGTTAAAAGATTAATTGTATTCGATTTAATGTCAACAATTTCACGAGAAAAAATTCTTCGGCGTATTAATTACTCCATGCATTCAAATACGCTGGCAAAAAGGTTAAATAAACATATGTGATTTAAATATGAGATATACTCGTATGTTTTTTTTTCAATAGTTAAGATTAAATTAATTTGTTCCACTGTTATAAAAAATATAAAATATATTTGGTTTCTTGTCAGGTTATGGTGTATACATACGGTATTTACGACTCATTTATTCTCTACATTTATGCCTTAATTGAATGTTTGGTTGCCAATAGAGATCCTCGTGACGGCAAAGCGATTGTTCAAGAAATGTGGAACAAAACATATCATGGTAAATAAAATATATCCTTTAGTTCCCGTAATTGATATCAATTTTCAAATATGCGGTTCTCGTGTAAAGATTAATTGCTCCCCGTCTGTTCATAAATGTTTTTATATTGTCCTTTTATAGGAATTGGTGGACCTTTCTACATTAATAGTAATGGCGACAGAGTAATAGATTACACGGTTCTAGACATGGTCCCTGAAACTGGAGAATTTATCGTGAGTTTGATTTCAAAATTATACTGTATCAGAAATATGATTATATAGATAATACATTATAGCTGTATTGATTATGCAGGATTATATGACATAAACAAGATGTTTTTATTAGATTTATGATGATGTAATGATAACTTTATTTTATGCTTTTCAGTGGATTACTGATTTATCCGTGAAAATTATATTTGATAATTTCACAGTGAAAATTATCAAAATATAATTTCACACTTTTCAATGACGAAACTACTTTTTTAAGATTTTCCCCATGCGGCACCTCAATTTTATTTTTCTGACTATTCCGACAATGTCAGGCTGTTTAAATAAAAGCAAAGCAGAAATTGATAAATAACTTATATGTCACAAGTAATAAAAAGAAGAAAACTTACAGTAAGTTACTTCTATTCATTCAAGTTACCAATCACCAAATATCGTCTCTTTAATTTTTTGTTTCATTTTAACAGTCTGAAAAATACATTCCTTCCACATGCAATACTGCTCTTGATGACATTTGGGAATATTTAAGTATCCTACGAGCAATAACTGCCGTATGCTTTATGAAAACTTGAAAAGCATTGGCAGCTTTCAGTCGAAGAATATGTAAACAACCCAGCGTTCGTGACGTAAGGCTTCCGAGTTCTTCAATTTCCTATCCACTTTTTTGAATGTTTACACATCTGTCAACACTTATTTATTGTCTGTTACAATCCTGAAATAAGTTGTCTTTCTTTTAAAAAGGTGTATGACTAACAAATCCAAATGATATCCCTCTGAATCAAACACAATTATTTTCATCCAGTGAAATACACAACTTTAAAAATGGCGGCCGCTTACATTTAACATAGCCAGATCTAATATAAATTCGCAGTCAGTAACAGAAATATGGATGGATGGTTGGACTTTTTCTCCTACTAGAATTGTTTGTTTTTATTATTTAAACAAGCGATCAGACATATTTTTTTAACAAAATGAACACTATCGCCACCATTTAAAGTTGATTATGGAACTTATTTTTCAGCCCATGACTTCTTGTATTTAATGAGAAATTCGACTTTTTTGAGACTCTAAATGGGGAAAACAGATTTTAATATTAACGTAAATATTAAGGAAATTTCGTTTTAACTTGTTTTTAAGCATAAAATAAAAAGAAAATTTGTTTGTTTGTTGTGTAAGATGTAATTTTATTTCATCTCGTGAACTTTAAAAACAGTATTCTCACTCGTGGCTACACCACTCGTGAGAATACTGTTTTTAAAGCCCACTCGATGAAATAAAATTTCATCTTACACACAAACAAACAAATATCCTCTATATAATATTATTAAATGATAATGTGACGTTTCCATGTGTATAAAGAAACATTGATATATTTTGTAGTAAAGAATGTTGCAATCATGCCCCATATGGCCATACTTTCACATAAAACACAAAAGCATAATGGTATTGCTTGTCAATAGAATGCAAAGTGGTTTTTAAAAATCGTATTTATTAAACTGTCAAGCTTAGGGTGGATACATCTTTATACCTTTACGGTTATTTGAAGATTCCTGCGTTACTGAATATTGACGGTGATGTATAATCACCAGTATAATGTTTAAGAAATTTTAAATGTTTGACATTTACAAAAGGTAAACGATTGTTGAAAATTGAAAAATAGTGAAAAATAGTGATTTGCTTATTTTTCACAAATTTGCAGTACTTGATGTCTCATTTTATGTTTTTCATTGGAAGTAATAAAGCATTCATGTTATAAAATACAGCTTGAAGAATTGAAATTAATGATAATGATGATAACAAATGTCAAGGAGATTTAATTATATGGATATGTATATATGGTTCGTCATTTAAACTGCACAGCTGTAATGACCCGCTTGGGAACATAATATTAGCTCTACAGCAATTTTCCATTAACACAACCTGTCGTCAGTTTTATAAAATGATGTTCACAATAAAATGAAAACTTGATCCAGCATGTTTGCAATACAGACAATCCCTTACTGTTATAGAATAGAAAGATATTAAATATTAACACGCAATAATACTATACACCTATCTCCTGAGTGTGTACTAATTAAAGAGCACGTGATGGTTCGGGAAATAATTAACGAACAAGTGATGGTTAGGATAAATTATTGGTGTTAGTCTTCACTAATTGGTTTTCAAATCCTCATTTTTCTATAAAAAAATGTCTTATCTACTTTTAATTTACAAATATTGAAATATGGGCCTAGTTTTCATTGCTTTTAATAAATCAGACGCGCCACTTCATTGCTTGAAATATCTTAGTGTCTTCTTTACATTGCTTTTAATAAATCAGTGTTCCAATTTATTTCTCGAAAGAGATCTTTGTATGCTTTAAATAATGTTTTTATAGATAATTTTTATGTTTTAAATTTATCTTTCTAAATTTCATACTTTGTATATATGACAGAAATCTGGAAACAAAGTGATCCCTCGAAACCATTAATCACAACATGAAAATTGCAGACTCGGTTTGATTGAGTCTGTACATGAGGGGTAACGAATATGTGCAACATCCCTCACGCCCCCTAGTACCGGCTTGAGCAGCTATATGGTAGTTGGTGTTGATACCTTTATTAATACTGCCCTTAACGTGATCTGAAATTCGTAATATTTTACAAATATGTAGGCATTTAGTTAATATAATATCCTTACCTGTCGGAAAGATTTATGGCTGTTGGAAAGTTGTCGGTTTATACGTCATCACCATGATCTCAATATGACTGATTACAACGATACAGCAATCATCACTTAGCTAATTGTTTTGTTTTCTCATCTCTCGTGGGATCTGCATGTTTTAGAATTATTTCCTGTCGTATTGAATATTAGTTATTATTTGGTAAACAATATCATATACATAAAATTGCCAGTTTAAGTGTAATAAAACCATGGTATATTTCTCGACACTGCAACGTTTTATATAAAAAGTGATTTTGCCGTTTGTCAATGTATTTTGGCTGTGTTATATCGAATGATGATAATGACAAGATATATTTTCTAAAGAATGACATTACAATTTTTGTAAAGAAGGTAATATGCATATTCCAAAGAATTCCAACAACGACAAAGAAGAAAATGTAGCCAAGACAGTTTGAATGAGTCTGTTTACAAAATGTGATCGACCATTCACGCACCGTAGCACCGACTTTAGCAGAACTTATATAAATATTAGCATGACGTTTGTTTCAGAATTTAGATACATCGACAGATGTGTTCAAAAACTTGGAATAGGTGTTTGTTGTATAACACTGTCACTGACAATTTTTTTATTTCTACCAGTATTTAAAAATTAAAACTATTTTCTCCATGATGTGACTGCACACATTCATGTCCGACTCAACATTTTAACTTAATTATTTTAATGTTATCAATATCGTTTAAAATGTTATTGCGCGCTTCTCTTTAAAAGTCTAACAATTTAACTTATGTTTTATAATGTTTGTTTTTTTATAATTGATCACGTGAAGAATGCAGGGTTGAATGGAAAATAAGTGGTTTAAACGTAAACATTAGCAAAACACTTAATCACTTCAAGTTAACAAGAGTCCTTAAATTAAATAAATATTCAGCTATAATATTGGCAATGAGTACAATCTCGGAAACTGAAACAGAAAACTACCAAAACTAGAAGGCCGAGACAGAATAAAAAATAATAGCATGTCGGGGGCTTGATGGTCGGTTCATCAAATAATGAAACATTTCAATGTACACACAGTAAAATCAGAAAATTTAGCAAAAGATTAAATGTTGTCAATGATGACATAATCTAAGTATCGTATAAAGTTTGCGAAAAATTAATCTCAACAATTACTCAGACATTCAAATTTTATCGAAATGTTGGCCTCGCAAAAAAAAACAGATTTTAGACATTTTAACAAGGTTTTAATTGTTATATTCAATTTATGTTATACTTTTAGGTAGTGTACCAGTATCTTGGCTGGAAAAGAAACCTAGAAATGATCCAAAATATTACCATACATTGGCCAGGTTCCGGTTCTCCTCCAAGAAATAAGCCAGTATGCGGTTTTCGTGGCGAGCTTTGTTTGACCTTCCGTTAGTACTACCTTTATAAGGTTTATCAATTGTAACTGTTATTGTTGCTTGTAACTAATACAATATATCAATTAACGTCCAACTGATATGGCAGTCGGTCGGTCATTTTGTTGATTTTGTCGGCCTTATTTTAATATGATATCATATAGTGAAAATGTAATACATCTATTTTTTTTTAAATTTCATTCGTTTCAAAAGAATAAAATTTTCACCTTTGTTCGCTTAATTTGTGTTTTTAAAAGATTCTTGATATTTCGATTATCGATCTAAACTATAGAGGGTTGCCCGATATATATGATATGCATTGTAGGATATTTCAAAAGCATTCGACTCAAACCGTCAAATCCTTTTTGCTATACTTGTGATCATTTTGAATTCAGTAATGAGACGTGTCACATTACACAGATTTGGGTAGACCTGACACACTGACTTGTACCGACAACCAGATCAATTGTATTTTGGTTATGATATTTGATTTTATTGATATTAGTCCTTAAATCATAGACTTGAAAGTGTAATTGCAAATTGTCCGTTCACCATTTTACATTGTAGACTTTGTCTGTATACGAAAATTGTCCTACCTTCACTTTGGACACATGATTAGTGAACAATAATCAAACATTGCAGATAATGCGGAATAACAATAAACTGTGTTTAACTGAAGGCTGGTATTTATGCCATTTTGAACGATTGAATAGAGCTATTCAGGCGTATCAATATTTATGAAACCGAGCACTGTGGTTACACAATGCACATTACATACCGAACAAACCTCAAAAATTATATGGAAAGTCTTCCTCCAAATGATATTTTGCTACAAAGTAAAATATGAGTAAAAGTGATATATAACTAAAAATGGAATTTGTTACAAAATGAGATCGAATATTTCAACCTTATATATCCATTTACATCAGCTGTTTGAGTAAAGAATAATATTAATTATTATTGATATTAATGTATCTAGAATTTATATATTGATTTTTTATATACATAAAATTTGTTAGCTTCTAAATTCTGAAATACACTAAAATACATATAAAGTATTTTCGTTGCGATTCAAAATTACATTTCAAAGTTCCCTTAAGAGTGTAAGACGATGGTAAAATTAGTTTTCTGAAAGTAAAAATGACAAAGACCGACGTTAAATGAAAAACGAAAAACATTGTAGATAAATCCATTGAACTTACGACATTTTAATTAAAACTTTTTAAAAATAATGTGTCTGTTATTTTTATACTGATTTATATTTATCTTATTTAATCTAAGATCTTTCTACCTTACAGGATTGAAAGAGTCTACCGTTGTCGCAATATGTCTGAGTTGCGGAATATTTATCATTCTTGTAGTAGGCTATGTAATTTATAGGTAAGTATTAATAAAATATGCAAGCTAATTTTCCGGTTCATATTATTAGTTATAAAGATTGTTGACAAGTCATATAGCGCTATATAAACGGTTGTTAGGTGAGGTTTATATTGCAAACAACCATTTATAACCGCCTTATAACCTGTCAGGCATCTTTATAACGAATGAATAATACAGCAAACTTTATTATAACTTCCCCTTTGTCCCTACTTTTTATTTATTTTATTTATCCCCTCCCTTCCGCGGGTCTCCTGTCCCCTTCCCTTGTGCCCTTTGACTTTATGGGCCTATTATTCAATCATTTATTTGTTTTCTTTTAGTTCCTTATCAGTTGCTGATGATTTTAGTGGTTAGCCTGCCCGTGCTCTGCCTTGTGCCCTGTCCTGTTTTTGTTTGGGGTCTCCTGGGCTACTTGCCACTGGCTCTTGTTACTGGGTCGGGTGGGGGTTGCGTTCATTGAACGCCGCCTTTCCTTGTTGATCTTGTTTATCATATTTTTTCCTTTTAAGAGGAAAAAGTGTGATTTCTTCTTAAATTGCCAGCAGCCATGTATACGAGACTATATATTAATATAATTATTATATTATAATATGATGTCAAGCCATATGAGTCTATTTGCAGGAAAACGCAAGAACAAAACTCCAAGGGCGTAAATTTAAGAAAAGATAATCAGACGAAGAAAAACTGCTTTTACTTGCTTAGGATATTTTGGAGTTATGTCATACCATTTTAATGTTTAAATCAAGGAAACACTGCAAGATATGTTTTTTAACGAAGCTGTTGTGTTTCAGTAAATGAGCCCTACACTAGCATATTTCTCCTGCACATTTATAACTTTTTTTATAAATATGCAAAATTATAACAAAAATTTTGAAATTTGTAATTGGACCCATCAATAATAATATTCTATTATAAACACTAAACATAAAGAATGGATTCTTTTAATTTGGTGTCTTGTGTTGAATAAGCTATTCACTAGATAATTAATTAAATTTACCAGCAATGTGAAATAATAACTGGGAGGAAGTACTTACTCAAAAATCTCAAATATCTGATAAATTTTGAAACTTTGTTTCCGATAGTTAATTAGATTTTTTTTCTAATTTGGACGTGCATATGTTCAGAAATATCCTTCCGAAATCCGTTGTTTTGTCTTTCTTTTAAAGTTACGTCTTAAATATGTAAATATTTATGACTCAATAGCCCTTTTGTCAAGTTTGCAACAATTTTCTCGCTTGAACCAAGTGTGCAACCACTTCACGTCCTGCTCCTTGATCGATAATCCCTATATTACTTTTGATATACTAGGCGTCAAAAACTTGAAGTCGCAATACACAGTCTTTGGTGGAAAGTCAAAGCAGAAGATATTCAAACTTATACAATACAATCAATGCAGTCTTTCGGAAGCAGGGTAAATATCTGTTATTAATTCATTCAACATTTGTTTTGCACAAGTTTGTTTAAATATAGTATCTGTATGTTTTATACTTTTGTAGAAAAATAGCATTAAAAGAAAATCATTCATAAAATTGACGAAAAATGATTGAAAATATTCAAGCTGATTAGAATACTGATAATATATTTATTATTGTCAATGAATTAGGAAAATTCATAAAAATGGCCGCAGCCTCTATAACATTCCAAGTAGGAGAGCTGTACCATTCATTTCTCGCGACCACGCCGAAGAATCTATGATTAATGAATGACCTACCAGAATAAAAATCAAAGCACAGAAGGCGCTGAATTTGTTTCGGTCGGTCTCAGAATGTCAGAAAGGTGAAGGTTGTGAGATCATAAACCAATTTGTTTTTGTATATTGCCACTAATGCTTTCCAGCGTTTTAATTGTAGTAAATTGGCTATAGGACTTATTGCAACACTGATTTTCAATTCAATGTTTATTTTACTTAAACAATTTGAAAAAAAATGAGTTGCCTTAACTGGGATTTGAACTCCAGACCTCTCGCTTCCTAAGCGAGCTCGCAAAACCCCTCGGCCACGGTGAAGATACATGTTAACGGCCTGAAGAAAACCACTTTATTCTAAATTACGGTTTGTAACCCTTATTATTTCGACGCTAACTGTTGATTAACACAGATGTAAATAATCATGGAGCTTACTATAAGCATGTTTATCTATAAAGAATAAAACAATATTAGAAATCTTCGACTATTCGGGAACTATTTTGCTTGACACTTAATGCGCCTGTCATTTGGCCATCTTTACGCAGTGATCTCCCCTGAATTTTTCGGCGTTAGTGTAAATATAAAGGGAAGTAACCGCTTCAAAAAAGCGGACTACTTTCGGCATTTGCAATTAACAGCATCAGGTTCTGAAATTTCGCTACCATTATTTGTTTGGTCTGACGACCCAAACAAATAAAAAACATTAGCCTTTGTACACATGCATAGTCTGGCATGAATGCATTTGATTCGGCTGGGATAGTTGCGCATCTTTGTTGTATTTTGTTATCAATAAAACAATTAAATTTAATAAACCGTTTCAAATTCAAAGAATTGTAAATGCATTACATCATTAGATAAAGGCTTAATGAATAGATGGAGGAGAAAACAAATACATGTTTACTGAAGCTTCTTTCCTAAACTTACTTAAATAAATATTTCCTTTTTATTTACTAGATTATCTTGTCTTTCAGCGAAATAGATCAATGTCAATACCAGCTGTTGAGCAAAATTTACAGAGTACAAGCATATATAAGGTTTGTTAAGTTACATGACGTTAAATTTCCTCTCAAATACTCCACGTTGTGTAGTTCTGCACTAGGTCTCTTTGTTTAGATAACACGCTTATTATACGATATTCTTTGGGACAATGCACCACTGTTAATTGAACAGAAAGTGTCCTTTTGCCTATTGTCTTGTGAGCAAAAATGTTCGTATATTTCTAAATTGCTTTCTTTTGTTTTCTTTTTAAAATGTCGCGATCTGTTTAAGCCGGTGCTAGGGAACATGGACTGTTGCTTGCATTATCACTGCTAGTCATGGACATAATTAACTTTATGCAACATTTTGTTATTTCCTCTTTTGCATGGTAAAATTAGATTTGTCCTGCTTTACAATTTGGTACTTACTGTACTAATTATTGTTATTTAAATGCATTCGTAAGTACTAAACAAAGACAGTAAACTTCAAAGACTCTTAGCGTTATAATCATATTTAAGAGATTACATTAGAATAAATGTTGCTATTTATACGGCAACACTGTCTGATGAAAATGTGTATTAAACTAACTGATAAAGTTGCTTAATAAAAAATGAGATTTGAGACCCGTAAAATATTCAAGATAAAAGTAATAATTTTGATGTTTTGTGCGATTTATGGCCGTTTGTCGTATTTTCACCATATTTCAAATAGGTTACTCAAGCAGTCAAGGCTATTTTTGCATATTTTGGCTTCAATTTTTGGTAATTTACATGGGTTGCAAGTGCTATTTACATTGTTGTAAAAATTATTTTCTTTGTTCATTTCATAATATTTTACTTTTTAATTCGTTTTCAAAAGTTTTCATGAAAAGTAGCATGAATCTGGAGACATGCTGTTTTAAATTTATTTTTTTATATATAGGGTACCCGTGTGCACATAAAGCGACCAAACATAAAGACTTTAAATGTTGACCGATGCCTTTTACTAGAACTTAAACAGGTAGGTGTGTAACAACCGGTTTTGCAACAAACTATTTATTGCAAAACTCGTTACGATGACATAATTGTGTTGCGTTTTTTTCACAACCAGTTTTGCAATCTTCATTAAATTTGTATTTATGATTTAAAATCAATTTCCGATCTAAACTCACTTATTCATTTTTGCAAAATAGATGATAATTATTTTTTTTTTAATATCAGCACATTTTCATTATCAACAATAATAAGTTTTGCAAACGCTTTGGCTCAAAACATTGTGCTACACAAATTTGATCTTATAACAATGTCGAAACTTACAAGTACTTTTGAGAAAATGTTTACAAAATTATTGCAAAACTCGTTGCGTTGATATATATTCTAAATTTGTTCTAAACTTAATACTGAAAAACGTGATTTTAAATTAATACAAAAACAAGCTCGTGAACATTCGGAATGCTTTGCCTGTTTCCGCATTAAATACTAGTCAATTTGAACGTTAGTTTCACAAAATTTTGTTATTTCACATTACAAAGTCTTGAATAGGGGAAAATGACGAGGATTTTCGAATACATGTACATGCTTGTATAATTTCTTGATTTTGTAAAAATACTGAAGTGCAATGTCTTTCATGTGTAAATAGCATTAATATAGTCTCTGAGCAAACAATGATTTAATTAGTTGATTTGATTCGTTGTCAACAATCTTTATATAGATGTTATATTTTATTCAAACCAATATTAATGACATGGTTTTCCGTAGATGCGTGACGTTACAAGCCCAAATCTCACCCGTCTTATTGGAATTTGCCCGGATTTAAACAATATAATCATATTGACAGAATTCTGTTCAAGGGGAAGTCTGCAGGTAATTATTTTAGTTTATTTGCATTGCTTATTACTTAATCTCTTTAATTTCTTCCAATTACACATTTGAATTTGGTCAATAGTATAGAGCCTAGTCAGCTTGGACGGATGTACTTTACAGTGGACGGATCTTAAGTAATGGCAAAGGTTTATCACTCTCTGTGCAAGCAGAGATACTTACTTTACTTGTTTTTAAGATGACCTCATTTGTTTTGTATTCATGTTGTTTAGATAAAACGGAAATGTCTATTTCCTTTCATGTTAATTCAGTGCATTACATAATTATAATTTGCGTCCGCGCCGAAGCGCGACGCCCCTTATGGAATGAAATCAGATTTTGTGTAATAGTACACAGTGTGTTATTATGTATTGCTGTACCTATAAATAGAATAATGACTTTAACATTGTGAAAGTCCAAAAATTTATTTTAAAAAGTAGTTTTAGTTTAACGAAACGGTCATTCGTGTGGCGCTATAGTTATAAATTACGAACTGGAGAAACAACTTATTTGCACTTTGGATATTATAGACCTGTATATTTTGGATATTATCGTTAATATTGGTAGATTTTCAAGTTCCTGTGGAAAAAAATTAATATTCTTATCTCTAGCATGCCTACCAAAGTTCATGATGAACAATGTCTTTCGTCCGCCCATTCATAAATATTATACAATTCTGGTAAAAAACAATTAACCATTTAAAAGTTTATAAGAATATCTGGTCATCAGAATGATGTCTTCTAGTTCATCTTCACTTGCTGAATTTCTTGCATGGACGCCCTTTGATGCTTTGCATCAATGCTTTTCTTGTCACTTTGCTGTTTTGCGAATGTAATTAAAACGGGGTGATCAAAAGGTGCAATCCGACCATAGGACCACATGATACCTTTCTGAAAACATTAAAGACTAGCATGGCTCTAAAGTTAAACTGATCTCAGCACTCTGTAACATGTGGTCTAGCACTATGTAACATGAGGTCTAAACATTTGCCCATGGAATCTCATAACAATTTGTATCACATTGTTTATTCAAAAGAACTAGAGTTATACTTCCAAATTGTCACAGAATAATGAAGCTTTCGTTTTACCAATGAGATCAACAGAGTTTATTTATTACTACAGGAGATGTTGCTGAATGAATCGATCAAGCTAGACTGGGATTTCCGTATATCTCTTATTAATGATATAGTGGAGGTATTTTTTTTGTCATCGTATAATACCTTGCTACAATTTTGAATGCAGTAACAAATATTATTGACTGGTTACTTAAATTATATAGACGAAATCTGGCCTGAATAATACTTCAATTACACCTGTTAAAACGTGTGTAACACCCGAGGTTAGCAAAATTGTCTTTTCTGTTTTGCGAAGCCATATGACCTTTTATGTGTTTATGTAAAGCCAAACAAAACAAGAAAGTAATATAAACAAAATAAAGATAATAAATATACTTAATTATATTTGTGTTGTATAATTTGTTAAAATGCATAAATTAAATGCAACGGAACTTTTTTTAAAATTTTGTTACAGGGAATGATTTACCTACACTCAAGTCCAATTGTTTCACATGGTGCTTTTACCAGCTCCAACTGTGTGATAGACAGCCGCTTTGTTCTTAAAATTACCGGATTCGGTTTAAAGAGCATAAGGGAAAGAGTGGAACGGACAGCTCAAGGTTAAATCTCGAAAATAGTTAATAACTGAGTTAATACTTTATTTTAAAGTTTTAAACAATATGGCGTACCACTGCAAGCTTTAATCCAATTTTTATACCAAGAACTTTATGTCATTTGCAACAAAGTGCAAAACAGTTGCATACTTATATTCTTACAAAGTGTATTAATTAATTTAAAATGAAAAAGCAAAATATCTTGACATGGCATGATATGTTATTTGGTAATAATATGTTTCTGTAATTGTAACTGTAATTCAACATATTTCATGTCATAGAAAACATTTTGTAGCTGCTCATATTTAAAAAAAATGCACTTACCTTTTTCAGTTTAAAAACAATATTGTGAAATCAATTGAAAAGAAAAGCAATCGGTTCCCTAAAGCTGTTTATGCTGTTGTTGACTTCTTTTACTTTATTTACTTTCACTAGCTTATTCCCCGAGCCTTTTATGGATGGCACCTGAGCACGTGCGCACGTACCCGCCAAGAAAATATTCTCAATTGGGTGATGTGTATAGCTTTGGTATTGTTCTTTATGAAATGTGCACAAGAAATGAACCTTACGTCAACGAAGAATGGTATACTTCAGTAAATGGTATATCACTATTTTGCAATTTTTCATATGCAACAAATAAACATTGAAATTTTTAACTGGGGTTATGATATTTTAAAAAAATGCTTCATATAGCTCATGCTCCGTATGCAAGCATTCTTTTACATAACGTTATTAAATTGATACAAGCGTCTTAATTTTCTGTGAAATGAATTATTTACAACGGGAAAGACGGCATTTTTGTTTTATAAATTCTAGGTTCAAACCAAATTAACTTAACAGTTTAAATACCGTTACAATTATTTTGACGTGCCAGGCAATACTTCTAGTAGCATAAAAGTAATGGTTATCAAGAACTCTTCATTTCTACCATTTAACCATTCATGCTTTATTTTATTATAGACACAATCGACAAGATACTTCAAAGTGAACACCCAACACGACCAACATTTACTGACTCTGAATCATGCAACGATATTGCAGCACTGGCCAAACAATGTTGGTCAGATCCTCCCGTAGATCGGCCACCGTTTTACGAAATTAAGAAGCTGATAAAAATTGCAAAACGCAAAAGGTTAGGTTTATATGAAAATAAAATTCTGACAAAATTTGCATTAATATAAATCTAGTTAAAATCTGGAAAATGTTTTTTTCACTCGGAAGCAGTGACAATAATATAATATTAAAACTAGAGACTCAGTAAATAATAATGTTTGTTCATGAGAAATACGAGTGTAACAGTGCAACATCTCTCATCTCTACGGCAAGCCATAAAACAAATTTAAGATTTGTTATTTGAAGTGTCAATGACGAAACTATTTTTTATGTATCTAAGAATTTTTTTATTTTTTTTTTTTTTGGCACGATCGATATAAAGTGTAGATAGCTGTTTGATATATAACCGAATGAGAGATATTTAAAAATAAAGAGATAATAGTGATTGGATAAAATTGAATCTCGATGGCAATCTTACAACTTTACTGTAAAATAAAACAGTTCTGTCTTCAGCAGTGTTTCAGTTCTTAACCACTAAAATTGGTTAAGCTTCCATAACAGTTACTGTTTATTTGATTACCGGTTTGGCATTTCTTTTCTACTTTTTTATATCTATATTAATTTTGACAGTTTTGATTATTATTATTTTACATCTTATGAGCATCATAGGTAAAATTTACTCTGTAAACATAGATTATTTTCTCAATTTATATATGGAATGATTAATAGGTACTTAAAAGTCTTAACATAATATTCTATCTTAAATGCTTATTTGATACAGAAAATAAAAACACATTATTATTAAGGTACGATTGTTGTAAAATTGAATTTGTTATCTTTCGAAAATTCATAATTTAAAATTAAAATATTTAATGTATTCAATGACAGGAACATCAATCCAGCAGAAAATGTTTTAGATGTTTTGCTGAAGCGTATGGAGCAGTATGCTAACAATTTGGAAGGCTTAGTTGAAGAGAGGACACAGGCATTTCTTGACGAGAAGAAAAAATCAGAAGAACTTCTATACCAAGTTCTTCCAAAGTAACATTTTGTCCTTTTTGACTCGCAAAAAAATCCAAATTATTTATATTTTTGTTGTAAAAGGTTTTGAAAAATTGTTTTATTTCTTACCTAATTGATTTTTTTTTTGATTTTGTTTTATTTATGCTTATATTCAACATGATAAAAACGGTCGAAGTTAAAGCGTGTTCATACCATTGGAATACATTCAATTTATATTGTTATAAAGACGTTGCAGTGGGTAAAATGTCCGTTCATTGCAAACATTTCCTAGAAATAGTAATGTGTCATTAATCTTTCATGGTAAGGTTTTTATGAAACTAAATGTTTACGCGTAACAATAATAAAACCGATTTCTCGAAGAGCGATATTTTAGTCGTTTCATTTATTATGCAGTAGTCACTTCCCCTGATCAGTTAGGAAGCATGACTTGACGCAGTCTTGTTTTCAGCCTTCATTTACCGCAGAATGTAGATACCGTAGTGTAAAGACTAAACGTGACATTGCAATTGTGAAGGGAATAGAGTGAGTTTAGGCGGACCACCCCCCCCCGCCTCTACATTTTCAAATGAATACTTAATATATTAGATATTAACAAATAATAATTCCAAATTCATTATTGTTCTAGATACTTTGACTTTATGAGACAGTTCCTCTTTTAGAACTGTGGCCAACCAGTTACGGGTGGGAAATACTGTCTGTCCAGAAGCATTTGATTCTGTCACCATCTATTTTTCTGATATTGTTGGGTTTACTTCGATTGCTTCGCTGAGTTCTGCATTTGAGGTTAGTGAGTTTTCTATATTAAGGTAAGTTAAATTTCTGCATGTGAGTTGAGTTAGATTTCTGCATTTGATGTTTAATTCCTGCTATCAAAGAACGTTAAATTGCTCTATTTTTATATTTTGAATTGAAGATTTGACATTTGATGTGAGTTCAAGCTAAGTGTATGTCTTTAAGAGTATGTAAAATTGCAATTTGAAGCTTTATTTGAAACGTTGAAAAGATTCAACTTAGTTTTAGATAATATTGTTGAATGTATCAACCTCCTTTTTATAATCATGTTTAATCTAAATGTTTCATTCTTGTGTACAAATATATAATTTTGTTTTATTTTCAGATTGTAGATTTATTAAATGATTTGTATACGTGTTTTGACACAATCATCGAAAGTTATGATGTTTACAAGGTATGTATCTCTCGAAAGCACACTGATAAGTGATTTATTTAATCATGTATCGCGTGAAGCTGCACGGATTTATTGCCGAAACATAATGAAGTGGGGTAAATAAATGATCATTATTTAAGTGATTTCAAACTTCAGGGAGTATATCTGAATAAAACATGATATATGTTACTTACAGTAAATAAATTAATTATTCTTATAAAAGAAATACGCATTGTACTAGTATTGTGTTTCAAGGCAGTGTACGGTCAACAAGTCAAATCAGCGGTTTTGTGTCAAGTATTCCTTTCCCTTTATATTGACAGATTATGGTATTTATGTGAATAAAAGGTGTCCTCTGATCTGCTGTCTTAAATTACTTTGTTTTTTTGTTTATTGATATTATTCTTACACATTTTTTTCAAAACAAGCTATAATTCTGAGGCGTAATGCTTTTACCTGACTCATTATTGTAACTTGGTTTTACTTGTTATTCAACAATTTTAAAAATTCAGATGCAAATTGCCAAATAACAATCAAATAATTGAGAGTTAAATGTAATTTAACGCCTTCGCGAATCGTTATTTAACTGTGGCGAATTGTTATGTAATGAATAGTAATTGTGGCGAATCGTTACATTACCCATCAAATCAAAATATTTCTCGAACATCATGATAACTCATTTTAGGCATATTTGATTTTCAAATTTTATTTAAGGTTGAAACTATCGGAGACGCTTATATGGTAGTATCTGGACTTCCGGAAAGAAATGGCATTGAGCATGCGCGACATATTGCTACAATGGCGTTAGATATCCTCAGTAATGTTGCTAAATTTACTATACGTCACCAACCAGATACCCCACTTAGAGCTCGCATTGGGATTCATTCCGGTGAATAACCTTATTGGTATTTGTCCAACTTTTGCATCTATGAAGGATGCTTGTATTTAAATTTAATTTAAATTTCTGACAGTTATTTCCCATAATTTGTCCTGAAAATGTCGCGTATAAATATGGATAAAGACTACACAGGTTTAACAGCTACAGTCACTCCTACGTCGCTCATATTAAATTACTAATCTTTTAGAGTCTTACTAACAGAAGATTTTACATTGGCAAATTTTTCATTGATTTTCTATAACGTTCTTTGAAATTGCAATTAGGTTTTGACACACTGATAATATATAATGTCACGTGGCACATTTCCTGATCAATTCTATAGGTAAGACATATTATTAAGTTATAGGACATTATAATAACATTTAAAGAATACATCATAAAATATATAGTATAGTATTATAACATCATTATATTACTCTGACTCTAGCAAAATTTGTACATAATTTAGTCGTTGGCACCTCATTATCGCGTTCTTTTCCTTTGCCTGTTTTATTTATTGCTGAAAACTGTGTCCCGTCTTTTTACCCGCCACTTTTCAGGTCAAAATTTCTTCCAGATATTGGCCGTAAATGAATTAGATTCTTTTTTCTCTTTTAAATGTTATTTATTTGTTGTTATAAATCAGGTCCTGTTTGTGCTGGGGTTGTTGGGAGGAAGATGCCACGTTATTGTTTGTTTGGTGACACAGTCAATACTGCAAGTCGAATGGAATCGACGGGAGAATGTAAAGAAATCTTGCCTTTCACTTACATACTATAATACTGCTTATGTAAAACCTTAGTTTGTACTTAAATCAAAACCATCATGCATTAAATATGTATGTAACTAAGAGTAAGCACATTATTGTTCATGCTGTTTTATTAAGGATTCGGTGTACGCTTTGCTGTATTTGCCATGAAATGTATCAGATATTTTACTACCATTTATTTTCATACATACTATTTTAATCAACATATAATATTATTTCAGCTTTTCTGTCCGGCTTGTAACCAATGGTCTTTTATGTTAAAACATGGAATGAGAATAATGTATAAGAAATTGTGTTTATAATGGGTTTTTCAAAAAAATATTTTTATATCATTACTTATAATATTATACTTTTTTCAGCTAAGTTCTCATGTCAATACGAAAGTCCTCGACAAGTTACAATGCTTAAAGATATCGTCTTAAGATTTAATCGAAGATACTTCTCAATCAGTGCAACATGAATCTTCCTCCATCGGCTAAGCTTGGAAGTTACAATTTTACCTGTATTGTGTTTAGTTAAATGTAAAACCCAACCAATAAAGGAGCCGCGTCACGACAAAACCAATATAATGGGTTTGCGACCAGCATGGATCCAGACTAGCCTGTGCATCCGCGCAGTCTGATCAGGATCCATGCTGTTCGCTACATGTATCAGTTTCTCTATTTGTTATAGATTTTGGTAAGCGAACAGCATTGATCCTGATCAGACTGCGCGGATGCGCAGGCTAGTATGGATCCATGCTGGTCGAAAAACCCATTATGTTGGTTTTGTCGTGACGCGGCTCAAAGTAATTGATTTCTCTTAAAAATTCTAGCAATGAAGATTCAGATGAGTGAGTCTACAAAAAACATTTTAAGTTTACTTGGGCATTTTATAATAGAAGAAAGAGGAACCATAAATGTTAAGGTATGATTTCGGCTGTCTTCCATGTCTGTAAAAATATTGGATTATTCTCAAACAAATAAATGTTTTTCTGTATTTTTCATTTTGATATTACTTATTGCGTTTTTTTTAAAAAAACAAAAACAAAAAAAACAACAAAAAACACACGAATATACCAATTGTATAAATGCGGGCTATTCTATCATTGTATGTCAATAGGCACTCTGACAATGTTTCTGACTGTCAAAGATATTTGTTCAATTACATTGTTTAGCATTAGCGAAACATACTCTATGATTCTGATTGTCAGAGATATTTGTAACGTTCCCATGAATGTCAAATAAGTACATTCTTCCTAATTAGACAATGAGTACACCCTTTGTCTTAGTTAACATCAAATGCTACGTGGTAGAACTACTTTTAATCTCCGAGGTTGTCATGAAAAATGAGCAAGAGGTTCCGAATTGTAAGGATTATTCCTGTAATAATGATGTAAGAGAAACATTTGATAGGTAATTCCTTACTTACGTAAGTAATTTGTCAAAAAGGAAAGGTTCGAGCAGACATTGCAGTATTTGTTGTATCATAGCTGAAGGAACCCATACGTTCTTAGTGGCTTAACTAGAGTTCAGGTATTTATATGATAATTGTATTCCAGTAACTGCATTGCCTGTCGGGAAGTCAATCTTTCATTTTCTTAGATTGTTTACATTTTTATGGGGTTTACATATTGTGACGACAGAGAAGGGGTTGAATACAGAGTAGTCATGTTTACATGCTTGCAGATTGGTTACATAGTTATGGGGTTTACATATAGTGAAAACCATGAATGTGTTTTATTCTTTGCAAAGATAATAAAACAAAGAACATTAAAACACCCGGACATCTGATTTCTTTTCGGGGGATTCCGAGCCCCCCCTCCCCACCCCGACATCTGATTTCTTTCCAGGTGGGATAACGACCCCTTGTACAAATCAAACAATCCAGAGTTTTGATGCTCTTTCAATTACGTGTATTATGCTAGTTAGGATTGTCACCTGCTTCTAATGATAATTCCTGCTGTATCAATAACTTATGGACAATCGTTGTATTTTCAGGGAAAAGGATTATCAACAACATTCTGGCTACTAGGAGCACAACATCCAAAAGAAGCAGATGCATGACAACTTGTTTCATGTGTTCTTTTTTCTTGTTGTCTTTTTTCTTTCTTTTTTTAGCATTCTAAAAACAGAATTTAACAATATCATTAAAAATATTGATCTTTACCTCGGCAAAATTAAGCACGGACTGCTTCTTTAAGTATCTTAAGTGGATACAATACACGGAAATAGTCTGCAGCAAAACATATTGAGACACTTCATTAGTTTGTAAAGACATACAAAATGACAATATGTTTGAATACATATTAACCATTAAAATGATATATTCTAATGTCCTTGTCATCTTGAGGTTAGCATATATTTTTACAGATATCGGTTATGTTTTACAACGACAATCATAGCTCATCCAAAGGAGTGCACATAAAACACATAAAATAAGTGATTATAAGTTGCCTTGTAATACTACATCTATAGGGCTATTCTTATAAAAATGTAAATACAAGCATTTGAAATAATATGAGCGTTAAAAGAATATCTTCGCCGACAATGATTAAATACGCAACATGTCTTTTGTTTGCAATCGTTCCTTTAACAAGGACAATGTTACCCTACAACATGTTTGGAAATACCGAGGCGAAACCTATACCTCCCCAAAATTGTTGTAAATCTTCTTATGTCTACAATTTTCTACAATGGCAAGCTGTCAGTCAGTCTGGTCTCCTAGGCTTCACAATAGACCTCAGACATATTATTAATGCGGTGACACATTGGAACTACTTCAGTCACATTATTCCGTCTTATTGTTTATTTATGTTATGATGTCAGTTGTAATATTTTGAAGTTAAAGGATTACTTCTTGTTCTCCATCAATGTGACACGGGCCAAAGGAAAAAAGGTATTACAAAGAGAAATACTCTAAATACTGAGGGAGATGTCATTTGGTTTTTTGTTTCTCGCGTTCGAACGTAACCTTATACATGTTATAGCCGGGTAAATTACGTTGATGTGTATTCGTTTTCTAGGTACAATGCCTTCTATCCGAAGTATACAGAAAGAGCTGACGTGTTAAGATTTTTCTCCTAGAATTTGAAAAAAATGACAGCTATAGGTTTTTCCGAACAAGAGAGCACACCATGTACAATTAAGCTAGTTTTGTCTTACATGGGAAAAAATCGTGATAAAAATGTAATTGTAAATACTTAAAAATGACATTTAACAATCTTGGTAATTTCTTCTTGTTTTGAACAATAAATCGTAGTTTTAAATGTTTGTAAATTGGTTTATTTCATGCTTTTCAGTGAATTACTGATTTATCCGTGAAAATCAAATTTGATAATTTCACAGTATAAATTATCAAAATATAACTTCGCACTTTTCAATGATGAGACTACTTTTAAGATTTTACCCATGCGGCACCTCAATTATTGTTGACAATTCTGATATTGTCAGAGCTGTCTAGAGAAAAGCAAAGCTGAAATTGGTAAATAACTGAAATTTCAAAAGTAATAAAAAGAACAATTCCTTCCACATGCAAAACTGCTCTTGATGACATTTGGGCATATTTAAGTATCCTGAAAAATACAATTCCTTCCACATGCAAAACTGCTCTTGATGACATTTGGGCATATTTAAGTATCCTACGAGCACTAACTGCCTAATAACTTAAACAGCAATGACATACATCAGCTCGAAGAATAAATAAACAACCCAGCGTTACTAACAACGTAAGGCAGCCTTATTTATTGTCTGTAACAATCCTCAAATATTAAGTTTTCTTTCTATGACTAACAAAATCCAAATGATATCCCTCTGAATCAAACACAATTAGTTTCCTCCCGTGAAATACACAACTTTTAAAAATGAAGGCTGCTTACATTTCACAGAGCCAGGTCTAATGTAAATTCGCCGTAAGTAACATAAATATGAATGGATGGTTTATCTTTTTATCCTACTAGATTTGTTTGTTTTTATTATGAAAACAAGCGATCATTCATATTATTTTAATAAAATAAATTATATCAATGCCATTTAACGTTGATTGTCGAACTTATTTTTCAGCCCAAGACTTTTTGTATTTAATGAGAAATTCGACTAAAGAGGCTACAAGTTCGGAAAATAGATGTTAATATTAAAGTTAATATCAAGGAAATTTCGTTTTAACTTGTTTTTAAGCATAAAATAAAAAGAACATTTGTTTGTTTGTTGCTACGCCACTCGTGAGAATATTGTTTTTAAAGCTCACTCGATGAAATAAAATTTCATCTTACATATCCTCTATTTCTTTACTCTCTTAATAGAATGCAAGTCCTCTCCCTAGTTTTTATAGACATATATATTTAATTTCACGATCAAAATATCAATTTAAACAGCATTACCAGTAAGGAACATACAAACAAACATATATATAAGTTATGCAATTAAAATAAAAACCCTTATTTACATAGGTCATAAAATCCAACAGAATGAAGCCACGTTGAACAATATTCTTTAATCATAAGCCAAAATTGAGACTGAAAGAACAAACGAATCCTTCTTTTAATATGTTCTCTTTAAGACATTGTAGTTAATACAGCCTCGTTCAAACATTTCTTCACAAGAGTATAGTGTTACTCTTGACATCATTTATTTAGCTAAGGTGAGTTAAATCTATTTTCCCTATTATTCTTTTCACTTAGTCTAGATAATTAAAAAAAGTGAATGACAACCATTTTTCGCTTAAAGTGAATTGGTATAAGACGGAAGATCTTTATTACAATAAAGCTATGTTGATAGCATTTGGTATCATAAGTAAAAACAAACCACGAGCGAATTATATATTGATTTTGATTGTAAGTGATACAATTATACATTACATTATACAAATATGAACTTTTTAGCTGGTGAATCGCACAGAACTTATCACTCGAATCCTTTCAAGGTATTTATCAGTATGTTGTGGATGTATATATAGCTTTTAATCGTCTTCGGCGGATCTTATAAATGGTCTCTAATGGAAGGTCTGTAATACAAGAAAGAATTCCGTAGTTAGTATTTAATAGATATAACCACAAACCACGAAATAATTATTAATGAAAGTTAACATAAATTTGCATGATCAATTTTGTTTCATTGCAAATAATTTATAAAGCTGATGTCAGTAAAACTTTTCTTATCCATGTTACAATCGTATTTGTCACCTCATATAATTTGCTTTTTTCATTTGCGCTACAATATAGGGTTAACGCACGCTTTTCCGTATTATAACGTCTGCAGAGTCCCGAAGAACGGTTGGTGCCCATATATAAAAACATCCTGTAATGTATCATTATTTCACCTTCTTCCGTTTGACTTTAAAAATTTCATGATTTAAATGTAATATAAATGTTGTTTAATCGACTGATGAAGCTAATAAAGCGAAACATGTGCTCGGGTTTTTTGTTGCTGTTGTTGTTGTTTTTTAATCTTTTTGTCCTATTTAAAAATTTCATACATTCTTGTTGAAATTGGCATTTCATATTTGTCTTAAATCATACATGTAAAGTAAATGACGGCAGTTTTGAAATGTCAGCTTATCAAGTAAGAACTAAAACTAACTTCAAAGGCTTCCTGCAGGGCGGTATACCATTGAATTTTGACCCCGTTGACAATTTTACCCTATGCGCAGCATATAACATTTAAAATGACACATGATTCCGTACAAAGGTCCGTCAAGCGTTGTAAACGCTGTCTGTTTTAAAGCAGCGTGTCTCCACATTCATACTAATTTTCATGAGCATTTTTAAAAATGTATTAAAAGTAAAAATAATATAATGAAGTGAACAAAGAAAGTAATTTGCACATTACAAACGACACTTATAATCCACATAAACCAAAAAGAAAGAAAAAATAGGAAAAAATAGCCCTTTCTGCGTAGTTCGCCGTAAAAATATGGTGATAAAAACTGCAGTCAGTCAATTATTGCACATAACATGGAAATTATTACTTGAATCTTTTTTTTTCTTTCTTTCTTTTTTTAATTTTTAAATCTTAACAAATTTCTTTTTAATATTTTGGACCATTTGGATGAATGCAGCTTTAAGGTTATAATATTAATTCTGCGTTGAAGTGTGAAGGAAGAAGAAATTGTGTTCAAATTAAAGTAAAATAACAAGTTGATTTAAAACAAACGTCATGCTTGATACATATTACATTTTTGATCACTGAAAACTGTCATGCATCGACATGTTGTCTTGACTTGTTGATCGTTGTGAAATGGTAATTTTTTATCTGTTGTAAAGACATGCAGGCGTATGATTTTAACAGTCATTTTGTATTTTTAAGATCTAAACATGATGTTATGGAAATTCATCGATTTTATTTTTATAAATGGATCGATCCAATTAGAGACTACATTAAGACAGACAAAACAAGTATAGGTTAGTGTTTAATAATATGTATTAACAAAAATAATTGGTCAAGCCTGCCATAGGCAGGCGACCAATTATTTTTGTTAATGCATATTATTAAACATTAACCTATTTAATGATCAACATTATTTTTTCAACCAAAAACAAGGCATTTCACGAAATCACCGATATCTCCGCCTTTTCGCTCTACAAGATGTCTACACCTTGTCAAGTTTCTAACATATCACATTTAGATAAGCTAAATAAATGGCCCTATCGACAAATAATCAGCCACATATTTTAATGAAATGTCACAGAATTTATACCTTTATCTACAGTTAGACTATCATGTCTCTATGGAAGAAAAATGATGCAATTAGGTAAAAACAATGTCCAGAGTTAATGAAATGTGTACAAATAAATGTATAAATAAATGGAAAATGTGAGAAAATACATTAGATTAATAATTTATACAAATTTGTTATTAAGTTATTCACTAACATTTAAAATCCCTATAGATTTGAAAAAAGTTTTTTTGTGTGTCAATCTAGGTTTACAGGTGGAGGGGTCCATTTACAATGAGTTTTCCAGCCCAAAAATGTAATTATTGTATTCTTAATATCAAGGATTGTTAATGCAGTTCATTCAAATCAACTGAAAGAAAATTCTGTTTTGGTTACTTTTTCCAGAAATAAAAGAAGTTTAAAACAGTCAGCAATTTAGAACAGACATTTTTCTTAGAGTTAAAAGGATATAAAAAAAGAGTTAAAAGGATATAAAAAAGTTACTATGTAATCATTTGTCTCTGCATGCCCCACATGTATTATCTATGTAATAAATTAATTGATTGTATATCCTCAAATTTAGAAACACATGACCTCGCTTAATTGTTTTTTTACGTTGGCATTGTTTTGCTAACCTAGATATTTTACAATTCAGAGTACAAATCACACCTCTAACTCCTCCCTAATATAATGCATTATTTAAATTTGTTAGACTGGTTAGACGACAGATTAAGTAAATTTTATTTAGTTAGTACGCATTAACTAAAGTTAGACTTAGCAGAAATTTGAAAAATACAACAATGTGATTGGACAAAAAATAATGTTGATCATTAATACAAACAATAACAAAAAGTACAACAAAAACAAATTAAGCAGTTACCCACCTGCTAAGCAATTACATGTGATATTTTTATTTTGTTCCAAAAAGTCACTTTACTTTGAACCAGTTATGCCATTCGTTACTATCCAGAGAGATTATTCTAATAGCCTTACAAGAAAAACATTGATGCAAAGCATCAAAGGGCGTTCAAGCAAAGAAGACATCCGATGACCAGATATTCTTATACAATGTATATACTTTTCAAATGGTTAATTGGTTTTTACCAGATTTGTATATCATTTATGAATGGGCGGACGAAAGACATTGTTAATCATGAACTTTGGTAGGCATGCTAGAGATCAGAATATTTTTTCCCTCAGGAACTTGAAATCTTATCAATATTAACGATAATATCCAAAATATACAGGTCTATAATATCCAAAATATACCCCCTATATGGTATAAGTTTATCTATATTATATAGGGGTTTTTTTTTTGGATATCATCATTAATATTGGTTATTTGATAGAATTTTAAGTTCATGTAGTATTTTCTTTGGAACATACAAAATAGTCGTTAAAATGAACAAAGTCTGTGGAAGGTCAATCTACTGTTTTAATGAATTACTTCAAAAACCTCATCTGACCCACCAGTGTTTTTACATTCCTATCAATAAACCCATAACAACTCATGTTAAAATTGCAGACAAAACTTTCTGTTGTTAAATTGTCACAATATTCGGCAAGTGAACATTCCACTCAAACTACCATAAAATCGATTGCCTTCAAACAAAAATATAGAACAGTTAGACTTGAACTATAGTATAACTGTCGCACAACGCCAAAATAAAAGCGACATTTAAAGTTATGAACTAGGTCTATTTAAATATTAAAGGTAAAAATGTCATAAGTGCAATCAGGGCCGTAAAAAAGAAAACCAGAGAGATCTACGGAAAAGACAATTTCAAAAAGATAATACTTTTTACATTTCTTTCCTGCAAAATTATCCAGTTCGTTATGTATTACCATAGTGCGACACGAATGACGAAAAGGCCCGAGAAGTTGCAATTACCCTTTCACAATATCTGATTTCATTCCATAAGGGACGTCGCGCTTCGGCGCGGACGCCAATTAATTTTCATCGAATGAATTACTTACAACCATTGTAATTATCAGGGGAGAAATTTCTTATGGACTTAATTTAAATCTCAACAGTTACACCCCTTTAAACTACATCTGCCAATTGTAATTTTCAGGGGATATAATTATTTTCGTCAATTATTATTTTCGGGAAGATTAATCTTATTAAGATAAGATAAGATAATCTTTATTTATAGCCGGTTGCAATCAAACATCATAACATTAGCTATATACGCCATTTTCCGACATAACATATTATCCTTTAACATGCAAACAAACAACCTGTTTAAAATTATAAAGAAACTGATTAAGAGGACCAATTTTCATATGATAAAAGCTGTAAAATAATAATGATATATAACTTAAGCACATTTATTTAATGCTTTCAGTGGATTACTGATTTATCCGTGAAAATTATATTTAATAATTTCACAGTGAAAATTATCAAAATATAATTTCACACTTTTCAATGATGAAACTTCTTTTTTAAAATTTCCCCATGTGGTACCTCAATTTTATTTTGCTGACAATTCTGGCAATGTCACGCTGTTTAAAGAAAAGCAAAGCTGAAATTGATTAATAGCTTAAATGTCAAAAGTAATAAAAAGAAGAAAACTTACTTCTATTCATTCAAACTCCAATCACCAAATTTCGTCTCTAAATCATTGTTTCATTTTTACAGTCTGAAAAATATATTTCCACATGCAAAACGTACTGCTCTTGATGACATTTGGGCATATTCAAGTATCCTACGAGCAATAACTGTCGTATACTTAATGAAAACTTGAAAAGCAATGACAGCCATCAGCCGGAAGAATAAGTAAACAACCCAGCGTTTTGAAGTTTTCAATTTTCCTTGCTGCTTTTTAAAGGTTTTTCACATCTTTCAACACTTATTTTTTGTCTGTTACAATATTCAAATAAGTTTTCTTTCTTTTACAAAGGTGTATGACTAACAAATCCAAATGAAATCCCTCTGAATCAAACACAATTATTTTCCTCCTGTGAAATACACAACTTTAAAAAATGACTGCTGCTTACATTTAACAAAGCCATGTCTAATATAAATTCGCAGTATAAGTATAACAGAAATATGGATGGATGGTTTGACTTTTTCTCCTACATTAACAAGAATTGTTTTTTTTATTATTATTATCACAAGCGATCATTCATATTTATGTAATTAAATGAAAAATATCACCGTCATTTAACGTTGATTGTCGAACTTATTTTTTCAGCTCAAGACTTCTTGTATTTAATGAGAAATTCCGACTAAATGGGGCTCTCAATGGGGAAACAGATTTTGATATTAACGTTAATATTATGGAAATTTCGTTTTAACTTGTTTTTAAGCATAAAATAAAAAGAAAATTTGTTTGTTCGTTGTGTAAGATGTAATTTTATTTCATCTCGTGAACTTTAAAATACTGTTTTTTAAGCCCACTCGATGAAATAAAATTTCATCTTGTAAACACACAAACAAACAAATATCCTCTATATCATTACGAATAGATTACAAGCAAGCAGCAAATATCATATTGACTTAGCTATACTTGTAATTTATTCCGATAGTCATTTCCTTTGTTTGAACTACTTTCCGGTACGTAAATTGGTATTAAAAAGGTATCTCATCGATATCTGATTGTATTTCACTTTAAATGCGCCATTATAAAAAATCTGAATGTTCGTGATTATGTGGGCTTGTTTATACCCCTTTATTCCACTTAATTTTGTTTTATAAAATGTAATTTTAAGTCATGTTCTATATTGATAATGAAGAAAAAAAATCGCTTAGGAAAAAAATCGGGAATTTGAAAAACGTAGACACGCTTGCGCTTGACTCCACAGAAATTGACCAAATATTTGGAACGTACCTGTATCGTCTGAAATACCGTATCAATTTTGAGACGCTCCCTGATTAATATTTGTTGCTATGACGTCACAAGTACTTTACTGAAGCGTACAAAATGGCGTACCAAGCGGCAGGAACAGATAATATTCTTCTTGTAACCGATTCTTACAAGGTAATTATCGTGTTTTGCTTTTCCATATATCGTCAAAATAACACTAATGATTTTTTGTATTGATAATTGTAACTGTCATGCCTTTCTAAAGTAATGTAACTTAGTTTTCTTCCTATTTTAAGTATTTTAATTTCATAAACTTTCGATTTGACTTGTTGTCTTTTCCGCTGCATCGGCAAAATAATAAGTTAATTTTCAATCATTTTTCGAAGAAAGTACTTTTTGTATCAAAATGTGCTGATCTAAAGATAATACCGTTATAGTGAAAAAAAAATCGTTACTCACTACTCAGAGGGAGATTGTAGAATCTACATGTTGTAATGCGTCATGAAAGTGAAAGTAGAAAATTTATGCATTCACATAGCATAAATCTAGATATCTCTGCATTTGATGATCTGTGTAACATTGATGTATTTATATGAATGATAGTGTCATTGAAATATTCTGTGATTCAAAGCAATGTATTTATATGTACTTCTACTTCTACATCATACTGCTTTAAAATCGTTTACGATCACTCTAAGCAGGTATACATTGTACATTGTACATTAAAGAGACAGCTATGAGATACAAGGGAATCCGGGAACCAGTCCCTCGCTTGTATTGAATAGACCCCTTGGTTCTTTTACATGCCCAGTGTATAGCACTGATACATGTGAGGAATACCTGGATTTCTTACCAGTACGTACACCTCTAGGTACATGAAGGTGGGAAACTCTGAAAGTGTCTCTGAAAAATCCCAAGGGTGTAACCCCAGATCGAACCTGGGAACTCAGGAGTGATAATCAGTGGTTTAACCAACTGAGCTTTGTATGATAGTGTCATTGAAATATTCTGTGATTCAAAGCAAGCAGCAATTAATTTGTACCATTGATTGTCTATAAGTCTACTTAGTCAAAATATATTGACATGCCAAAGCTTGATTCTGTAATATTTTCGTTCCGGGGCAGAATCACGCTTTTGGAGGCAAGATATTGCCCAGACACGAAAATAGCACAATATCTCGTCGCGCAGTACATTTAGTTAGACTAGTTTATAGTGAACATGCTCAATTAATATGCAGCAACATCAATCTGATTAAAATCAGCCCTGAATAAAGCTCTGCTTTTATATGTGACCGTGACCAAATACAAAGTCATTTCTGGTGATATTTTACACATCCAATCATTGGCGCGCTTTCATAATTTTGAAGCCATGTGTTTTCTAATTTTAACCCTGGGAAAAATCAACTCTGAGTAGGTCTTTTTCACGATTTCGAGAACAAACATGGCGTTGTCAATATACTGATATAGCCAACAGGTAAACTGGCAAAACAATCTAGCCATAAAAAATTGACTATTATTTCAAGTTAATTTGCTTAAAATTACTTCAAACATTTTTTTTCTAACAAAAATCAACAAGTTGTTTAACTTCCAAGGATACCGATATTTCTTCTAATGCCTGTGTAAAAACTGGTTTGAGTGCATGGCTAAAAATAGCTTTCTCAGGAAATCTGAATTATAAAGAAGGCTAAACATATACGGTTGTCATCAGATCTACATAAAAGGAATCAGTAGATCTGAACTTTAGTCAGATTGGACACAGCATGTACAATGAATAGCCCTATATACATGTACTTACCCCTAGCCTGATCAATAACTGATTCGTTCGGAGTTATTCTATATCTGTAGAACATACTGAATTGCAGCACATTAATAATATAAAATTAACTGACTATTCTCTAAGGAGATTGCCAGAAGGCAGAGAAAGTTATTTTGTGACCTTTTTTAAAAGAAAAACCAATGGTAAGGTGTGGTGGCTACATAATAACGATGTAAATACCAGAAAATTCTGAAACGCTTTACAATTGAATTTGCAGTTTTATCATTGTTTAACTTTTATACCTGTTTTAATGATAGCAGTAAGAGACATGTTATTTTCATAAAATTACAAATGTATAATGACATTGTGAATTGTTAACATGTATGACTGCCATCTAAACATTTTTTCTGACCATGTTTTATCATTACTACTATGAAATAGTTATGTAAATGAACATAATGAGTTCTGCTCTAAGGTGCCTGAAATGGAGGGGCATCTGAGGTCTTCCTCCACCAGTAAAGCTGGAAAGTTACCATTGGAAGTCTTGTGTGTTGGTGCGATGTAAAACCCAACCAAAATAAAGATAAGATGTTAATATGGCATATTTTAAAATGTGTCATTTTAACAGGGCACCTGGTTCTGTGTATGTTTTGGGTGAATTTTCTTTATTTCTAAGCATTTTATTTAATGAGTCAAAATTATAAAAAAATTTAATCTTAATCAGAAAAATTTCTATGAATTAATGCATCAGTATTGTTTCTATTGATCGCAGTTCTGTCAAAATTTTATGCCATATATGATAAAATTGATTAATCATTTCATCAATGACATTACAGACATAAAATGTGACTAAATCCATTGAAAACTTGCACTAAATAATTCCCCAACGTTTGACACGGTGCACTTATTTTCTTAAATTGCAAAGCCATGTTCATGTTTTTTTTTCTTTTTATATATTAAATTCAAATAATTCACTGATGATTGAATATGAACAGCATATCAATGACAAAGGGAAAAAATTGTTTTTTGCATATCAGCAAAAAAAAGGGTTTTTTTTAAAAAAAGTTAAGTAAAAGTCAGGAAAGGGTTGTTTTTTAGCAACAGCTCTTGAAACTGAATGAAAAGAAGAATAAATCCACAGAGCTGTGTTATGCTATGTCTTCTTTAAGGGGTTTGATAATTATGACCCTTACATTCAACTTTAGAGAAGCAAAGATATGAAAATCACAGGTGTGATCGGCACATTTGATGATAAATGTTCACAACAGAAACCAATGTTATATGGGGTCCTCTTGGAAGGTAAAAGGTCAAGGACACAGAAGCTAGCTATGGAGACATTTTTTTCTTTCTCAAGCAAGCCTTTATTTATTGAACAATATCTTAGACACAGGGGCATTGTGTAGACCTCAAGGCTTGCATAGAGTATAGATGGGGGTCAAGGACACTGAAGCTATAATTAGAATTTTCTGCATTACTTTATAGAGTCTTTATATCTTAGACATTAAGTCCTAATACCTATTGACCTACCGGTATATATATGAGTATATATTTTCATTCATTTGGGGTCAAAGTAACAAAATGGCTAAAAATAAATGTTTCTTCTTTTCCTCATTAAACTGTAATTATTAGCTTGTCTGTTGGCAGAACAGGGAGAGCTTTTGTACTCACCCGGGCATGGGCGGTGTCATTCATCAATAATATTTCATTTACAGGTTACACATCATATGCAATATCCACCAAATACTACAAATGTGTACTCCTACTTTGAAAGTCGTGGCGGGGAAGTTTGAGAAAACCGTCTTCTTCGGTCTACAGTACATCATCAAGCGATGGTTGTGTGGTAAGGTTGTTACGGAAGAGAAAATCCAGGAAGCAAAGGAGTTATATACCATAAACACTTTATGAAAGATCATTTTAATGTTGATGGATGGAGATATATTTTAGAGGTAAGGAAAATAATTATCTAAGTAGTTTTGAATTGAACCAAGAATATGAATCTTATAAAGTTATCGAGAAGAGGAAGACGGCATCTTCAATCACTTTTAACTTACATCCCATCTAGGACTTTAAATTGTGTCAAGTTAGGATCTATACATTAGTGACATACATGTTAAGGGCATTCCTTCACCTTTAAAGGAACATGCCTCAAGAATTTTGCAATTTTCATGAAAAAGCGGGGTCGTCATTTGCCGAACGATGTCTATTTCCGAACAATATATATGCGGTCGTAAAAATAACAGTAAGGTTGCGTTTTTTAAAGTTTTTTGGCGCGAAATATTTGAACATAATTGTTTGCTTCCGGTTGTTTACAATTCCAAGGTCGTCCTGTCATCTTTAAAAGCAAAAGATATCATCGAGGTAAGTCCTATAAATTTTGTCAATATTTAGCCGTACATGCTAAGGAGAAATGCTGACGTAGATAAGCGATGCAAAGTTTTGTATTTTGTGTTTAAATGTAAACATGTATGAAAGTATGTAGATGTACCCCTTCCCCACCCATCTAAATTAGAATGTTCTAGAATAGACAGACGTAGATCTTGCCACGTGGTTGTTCGGAATTATCCTCTCACTTTTTAACCCGAGGGTCTAATTCCGAACAAATAAGAAAACACAAAAACATTCAAAAAAGGCTAGAGGACTAATTTGTATTTAATAGTTTAAGTAAATTATAAATAAATAAAATCTAAAATAAATAAATAAATAAATAGATAAATAATAAATAATTAATCAATAAATAAATTAAAACAATCAAAAAAGTTGGTTAATGAATGAAAAAATAATTCATTAATAAATTAACTCATTCATTCATATCTCACAGGTAACATGAGCCGTTCTATCGGTGCAAAGTCGTATACCCCGGATGTGCTGGCAGAGGCTGCCAAGCTTGTTCAGGGTGGGAGCCTTACGTTAAGTTGTGCGGCCAAGTCGTACGGGATACCGAAAACGACTCTGCAATGATAAAATCAAGGTATTTTAGAACAATTTTATGAATAAATAAGTACGTTTCATCGGGTCATTGTAGTTTGCGAACAAAGCAGGCCAGTTAATATAATTCCTAATTCTAGCTAGTAATTTGTTCAAACGCCCATTTAAATGTCGTTTAATTATTATTGTTTTATAAATGACAGTAAAAGATTAATTTTTTATCATTAATGAAAATGGTTCTCAGTGCACTATTGTTTATTATCCTTGTTCATATCACACTCCTACTTGTTTTAGGGAAGATACGCAACAAACGAAACAGGTCCCCGCACTGTCCTCGCCGGCTGAGGAGACCCGCCTGGGCAGAATGGGCAGTCAGCATGTCCAGGATCGGCTGATGGAGGACGAGGCAGGAACTGTTGACCACGGTAAAGAAGATCCTTGATGACGATGGTCGTAAGACGCCCTTTAAAGACAATCGACCCGGCAAAGATTGGTACAGGGGCTTCGTCAAGCGTCACCCTGAGCTGACGGAAAGAGCGCCCATGCAGCTCGGAAAGAAAAGAGCAGTGATAACGCCATCAAAAATCTCAAATTGTTCTCAGAGTTAGAGTTCTTTGTAAACAATGAGTTGAATGACCATGCCTATTGTCTGATCCGTCTCGTTTGTATAATTGCTGACGAGTCCGGGTTTCCACTATGTCCTAAAAGTGGACGAATCATTGCCATGAAAGGGGCAAAAAAAATGTTTATAACTGTTCAAGTAGTAATAAAACTCAAATAACTGTGTTGGCCTGTGTTAGTGCTATTGGACACTACATAAAAGCCAATGATTGTATATCCTGGCGAGCGTGTGAGGGCTGATATTCTTGAAGGTTTTCAGGAGGCTGCAATAGGTCGTTCTCCGAATGGGTGGATGGAGTCTGAATTATTTTGACCTGGATAACGGACGTGTTTATACCCGACTTAGACGAGCGTCAAGTCAAACGTCCAATCTTACTATTGGTTGACGGCCACTCAACACATGTGTCTTTAGAGGTGTCGGATGTGTGTAAGGCAAATGGCATTCACGTGTTTTGTCTACTTGAGCACGCCTCACACTTTGATACAGCCGCTTGATCTTCGGGTTTTCGGGGTATTAAAAGAAAACTGGAGTCAGGCTGTGAGAGATTTTCAAATTGAGAATATCCCGAATACAGTTACGAAGAGGACTTTTGCTCAAGTATTTAAGGGCGCCTGGGAACGGGTCAGCCACCCACTGAGAACGCAATATTGGCATTTAAGTATGCCGGCCTTTTCCCTTTAAATAGAGACATTGTTCTGAAAACAGCAAAAATGGAACCATCGACAATCTACAGCTCAAAGCTTAACGCACCAAAAGCTACACCTGCTGGGGTTCAAATGAATGTGCAGCCTGACTTACCTCCAGATGTACAGCTGGACGTGCAGCAAGCTGTACAACAGGAAGGGCAGCAAACTGTACAGTCGGACGTGCAGCAAGCTGTACAACCGGAAGTGCAGAAAACCTTACAGTCAACGTGCAGCAAGCTGTACAACCGGAAGTGCAACAAACTGTACAGTCTGACATGCAGCAAGCTGTACAACCGGAAGTGCAGGAAACTGTACCGTCAGGCGTGCAGCAAGCTGTACACTCGGAAGTGCAGCAAACTGTACAGTCGGACGTGCAGCAAGCTGTACAACCGGAAGTACAGCAAACTGTACAGTCGGACGTGCAGCAAGCTGTACAACCGGAAGTGCAGCAAACTGTACAGTCGGACGTGCAGCAAGCTGTACAACCGGACGTGCAGAAAGCTGTTCAACCAGAAATACAGCAAACTGTACAGTCGGACGTGCAGCAAGCTGTACAACCAGTAGTGAAGCAAGTTGCACTACCGGAAGTGCAGCAAGTTGCACTGCCGGATGTGAGTCAAGCTGTTACAGCCCGACGAACAGATAGATCTACAGTTTGTCGCGAACCCACAGACATCCTTGCAGCAATCGCCATTTTCGAAACACCTAGCAATGCCAAAACCCAGAACTGAAAAGAAAACGATTAAAAAAAATTAAGTTGCCGAAGGCAGTTACTGGTAAGGCATTTAGAAAGATAATGCTAGAAAAGAAAGCCACTTAAAGAGCAAAATGAACGCGAAAAGCAAGAAAAGAAAACTAGAACGTGAACGAAAACGCAAAGAGAGAGATGAGGAAAAACAAAGGAAACAAAAAGAAAGGGAGGAAAAAAAGCGGCAAAGAGAAATTGAGAAAGCAGAAAAACTAAAAAGAAAGGCACTAGCAGAAAAAGTAAATCAACATTTAGCAAAACGAAAAAGAAATGACGTATCTAGCAGCTCCGATTCGGGGTCTGATTTTCAAACGAATGACGACTCGGAATATGAATGTGACATTGACAGAATGAAATGTTTCAAGTGCGGTGAACTTTACAATGACGATAACCCGCTGGTATGGATCTCGTGTGACAACTGCCCTCGTTTATTCCACAGGAAATGCACAGACATTGATTTCAGTGGAATGGACGAGGAAGACATCGCAAGTTTCCCATTTGAGTGTCTGTACTGCTGAAAAATAGTTGCACGAGATCGAAAAACAGTGAACTTGATAGATACATATCGTCTCTGGTTGTGTTTGGTCACATCCATACTCCGAGGTCATCGTTTGTGTTTAAGACAATTAAAATATTGTTGTTATAATTATGTTTAAAGATATTGAATGAATTATCTTGTTTAAATTGTTTAGATTAAACGAAATTAGATAAATTAGTTATTTTTAAAAAGCCCGTCATGTTCGGAAATAGACACCGTTTGTGTTCGAGTGACCCGCACTGTTCGGAAAATGCACGCAGTCACAAGAGTTTTTCTGAGCGCGATTTTCCTACTTACTGTTTATCATGAGCAAATGCCATATGTCTTGTTTGAAAGGTTAAAGGTCAGACAATGTGTGCATAATATTATTAGTTCGGAATTAGACATCTGCTCCTTATTATAAGCAGCGAACCTTAGGTGTTCGGAAATGCCCGACCCCGCTCTAATGAGTGAAAATCATGCCAAGTGTACCTAAAATGTGATTAAATCTAAAATTCTGACAAAATTTAAGCTATACATAACTAATATGTATATTTTAAATATATATATATTTCTGAGACTTGATTTTTTGTTTGAAATTTTCTTTGCTCATCTTGAGGAAGATATGACCGTGTCAGTGTCAACATGACCTAAACTTCCAACTTTACTCTTACCATGCTAAATATCAAAAATGGACTGGTCCATCTTCCAATCTGGACAATACCATTTATCTTTCAAAACCTGTCTAAAAACCTGTCTAACAATTCTAAGTTTCCATAATGCACACAGATCAGGGGAACCAAGAAATCAAAGGGTCATATCTGCGAATAGAGATATTCAATATTACTTATTTATCAAATATTTTGATCTTTAGATGCAAGGAAAATTTTTAATTTAATCTGATATCCAGACTCTTAAGTTATATTTTCTTCTGGAGCAGTATTTCCTTTGTTTTTCCGATTTTTCCTGATTTTAACACATTTTTGGTCATACCTCTGTGCTCGGTCAATCTAACCAGTAATTATCATCATTCATGATGTCTGAATTGGCTGTGAGAGAAAAATGACCATTATACATAATGTCTGAGATCAGTTGTCATGAAGAAATTTCGCCTTTGCCCAAGGATTAAACCAGCGACCCTTGATTACAAATCCTATGCATTCCCAATTCTTTAGCATGCATAATATAATACCGGTTATGTAATGTGAGGAGCCTAGAATAATGAACTGGTATGTGAACACAAAAAGAAGTGTGTCTATATTAAGTTTGTGGTAAACAAAAGTCAAGGTTACAAACAGGAAACATGTAAATGGGTGAATAAATTTTATTCAGAAGTATTTATTGAATTGATTTTGTAATGGCAAAGGGTTTTCACCTATTGAAATAACAAACTTTTATGATGAACTAATTCTAAAGCTAGTCATAAAGTCTATGGGTGGTTGAAAGTTATTGTCCAATAATGGTTATCAAGTGTTCTACAGTGGTTTATCAATGATATAGGACGGGTTGAAAATGCCTCAGACAGGTTGAAAATTTGTCACTGAAGAAAATTCCTTTTTTTTTCAAATAATTTAGTGTCAGTTTAAGTGTTTTTTCTGTCAGACCTAATTTTTATTGAAACTTGGTAATAGTTTTTGTTTGACCATTTATTTATTCAATGTCATAATACATTTGTATTGCATTAAAGTAATTATTAATATTAAAGCTATATATCTGTTATTTTTAGTTACTGAACAAAATTGTTGTTTTAATTTTGAAAAAAAAAAAAATTCTGAAATGCTTGAATGAAAGAAATATGTTTGTATATTTCCTTAGGAAAGAATGGCTCATCCATGAAATTATTGCTAAATGGTTAAGGGTTTAAGACGCTCAAATTACCAATTGACATGTTCAAAACTTCAACTTAAAAACATGACAAATCCATTATACAAAAGTAACGGGATATGCTTTTAAAGCAGCATGCCTCCAAATTCATGCTTTTTTCATGAAAATTTAAAAATGTATTTAAAAGTTATAATATATTATAAAATGATGAAGGAAAAATTTACACATTGCAAACAGCACTTGCTATCCAGGTAATTTACCAAAAAGTGGTCAAGATAAGCCCCTTACTGCGTTAGTTGATTACCTTACTAGCGGCTTAGTAACAGTCAGTAGTAGAGATATTTTAATAAATACTTCAAAATCAGTCCTTTATCACCCATATAAACATGTAATTTAACGCTTGAATCTTAAATCTGTTTACTTTTCTTAAACTTTTAGTAGTGTGTCATTTTTCTCAAGTTTGATTTTCTTGAGATATTTTGGCTCATCAGGGGGCATGCAGCTTTAAAGATTATATGTCCATTTTACATATACAACCATCGAAAGTCTAAAATTGAGTGTAATCTAAGTATGGTTAAAATGCAGATCACAATTATGTTTAATTGTGTAATAAGAAGCACCCTCGTAATATTACACTGTTCCATTCAATATTGATTTGTAAGATACCCGATATATTGTAAACTTTCTAAAGTAGACATTATTGAATATTGATTTTATGATCGTCTTTGGTAAATGTATACAAAATCAAAAAGCTTAAACTGTTTCTTTCAATGTAAGGTCATTCATTAAGTGTAATATTATTTCGTTTTCCCATTTAAACGGGTATTAGTATTTGTTTCAAAGATTTTTCCGTAGATATTAGTTTGGATGGTATTATCCCTTTTTGATTATTATATGATTAATATCATTTGGCATCAAATACCTTGTTTAGTAAACATTTATTAAGAAGATACCTTTATGTAAATCTACACAGTTTCTTTCTAAACATTAGCTACTGCAGTATTGACCACTTTTTGACCAAAAAAAAAAAATGATAAAAAAAAATTTCAATGTGAAATGGTTGCATCTTAAATTTTCTAAGCCCTTAAACTTCCTGAACAAGATGTGAATTAAGCCTTAGTCAACCAGTATAGAGCCAGGCCAATCAGCACATCCATGCAGTGATTTTCCTCCTTTAATATATTATATAGTATGATTTCAACTGATTATGATAGGTAATAGAAAGAGCTCCGAAACACGAGGCTATCTGATTTGTACGAGGGGGCATAGCCCCCGAGTATTAATCAGATTGCCGAGTGTTTTGATGTTCTTTCTCTTTTGTATCATAGTCAAACATATAAACACGTTCCCTGTTGTCACAATATGAAACCTTAACTCTGCCTTGTATTAATCTCTTAATGTGACCTCTTCCCAATTGAAATTTTCTTTAAAATCATGCAGTTGTCCATAAAATCTGAACCTACAGACGCTTTTTTACTTCCAAAATTAGCAATTTTAGTGATAATATTTCCCAAAATCAAGAAGCCTTATTTATCAAGAGGCGAAGGCCTCCTCAAGAGGCGAAGGCCTCTTCACATTTATTAAGTGAGTAATACCACGGCTGTGCAGTCTCACCTGCAGATTTTATACTGTTGCATCTTAAAAGCTGATATTATATGTTTCATTTGTGAATTGATGCAGTATCTATTTAAGTATTGAAATCCCTGAACATTTGAATGGACTGACAGTTCCAAATTTAAAGATAGGAAATAAGACTGGAAAATCCCATCAAATACACAAATTCAGCAACAAAACATATACCCTACGTATTTTTGTGAAATCATGCACTAGCCAATGCCTCTGTTTGAATTAGTTATTCCTTTGAGAACAGTTGACTACTGGAATGGTTCACTAGAAGCTTACAGTCTGTAATATTATCCGCCAGTGTATAGTCAATGTCAACCTTTTAGGTTATTGTAAACTCATTACAATTTAAAGAAGGAAAGGTTAAGTTAGTAAAGTGTATTGAACCTGTAGTTGAAAGGGACTCCACTAAAGTTTTTTGACATGACATGACTGGAAATATCTTTTTCCAAGATTTATGTACAATTTTTATGTAGGTCTAGACAAATAACTTGTGTGCCTATTTTCAGATCTAGTTTTCCAGAACAATCATTTTTATTGTGCCAAGTAACCCGATAATAAAATGTGTAACTTGACTTTTTTACTCTGATCAGGCTAAGAAGTCAGCACAAGAATTCAGTATTCAATTTAATTCTGGGTATATTTCTTAATTATCCTTTTGCAGATGTTTCCACCTTTAGGTGACAATTAATACGCCCTTCGTAGGGTTAATAGTGTCAAGAGGTGAAAGTCAAAATAATTTGCAATTATTCTTTTCAATTTTATGATTTATTTTGCATGAACGATAAACGACCCGCGAGGCCCATATATATCCATCAGAATTTAAAAGAGTGGGACAGTCTTTTTATATTCTTGTCTGAGATTTATATTTTTTTTCCTCCTCATTTTTCAATATCAACTGTTGGTCATAATCAATATGATAACAGTATTAAACTGTTGGTGTTTTGAAATATATAGTTAAGTCTGCTCATGGAAAAAATGAGCATAATGTCACTTAAAATTCTTCACTTGATCTATGTAAGACTTTCAAATTTTATGTTTTTAGGCTTTTTTTACCTCAGTGGAGCCCCTTTAATAATATTTTATTGCTACTATATATGACATAAAATGTGAATATTACTAAAAGAATTTTGTCATATAATAATGTGTTAATCTACTATGTATTACAATATTATCAACTGTTTACAGCTCTAACAAAGTCTGGATTTCATAATAAAATACACATTTCAGAATAAATACAAATAACTGAGACGTAACAAAAAACCTCACCAAAAAATAAAACAACAACAACAAAAAAACCCATATGAATTGTTGCACCTTTTACAACTTGAGTGCTAAAAAGATTGCTTTTATGCTTTTAAGGTGCCTGGGTATAAATTAATTTTTAGAATTATTCAGATGGTGTCTAAGTGCAATTTTAAAGTTACAAATGAACTGCATACTATATATTAATTATGTAATTTTTGTACTTGGTTGACCTAATAGCGTCCATAAAATACTACTTGCAGTTGCATTCTGAAATTGAAAGGAACTGTTTTTCGAGAAAATTAATCTTGTAAATTAAATGTTCTTGCTTTGAGATACGATGAATTCATAATATACATTTTGTAATTTGAATTGATCTGTTAGTTTATTGATTTCTTATTGATTTTTACAGCATTACTTGCCAAGTGCATTTGATTGTTCACCTTCAGATTTTATTTGAAGCTTTATTACTCTGCAATGTATGATTAATTGATTATTACAAATATGTAGATTGCAGTGATTTTGAGATTATAGTTTTAACGTAAGTCTGCCAACATCAATGGCTCTACCCATAGTAATGTCATTATTAATACCTGAATTAAGTTTACCTGTCCCTCTGTTTGTCTATTTATGGACTTGATGTACCCAGCCTATACTGGCCCCTAAATGACATTTATCTTCAAGGTCAAATGTTCAAATTCCAGAAATTTCTCTACAATTTTTTTTTTACAGATTGAGGATAGGGACCATTTGTTTTCATGAACAAAATAACACTAATTCAGTTAATGTAATGAAATTATTCAGTTTATATAATGAAATTATTCAGTTTATATAATGAAATTATTAAGTTTATGCAATGAAATTATTAAGTTTATGCAATGAAATTATTTAGTTTGTATTTAATGAAACTATTCTGCACTTTATGTATTCAGTTAGTGTAATGAAGTTATTCAGTTAGTGTAATGAAGTTATTCAGTTAGTGTAATGAAGTTATTCAGTTAGTGCAATGAAGTTATTCAGTTAGTGTAATGAAGTTATTCAGTTAGTGTAATGAAGTTATTCAGTTAGTGTAATGAAGTTATTCAGTTAGTGTAATGAAGTTATTCAGTTTATATAATGAAATTATTCAGTTTATATAATGAAATTATTCAGTTTATGTAATGAAATTATTCAGTTAATGTAATGAAATTATTCAGTTAATGTAATGAAACTATTCAGTTCATGTTAATGAAATTATTCAGTTCATGTTAATGAAATTATTCAGTTCATGTAATGAAATTATTCAGTTCATGTAATGAAATTGTTCAGTTCATGTAATGAAATTATTCAGTTTATATAATGAAATTATTCAGTTTATATAATGAAATTATTCAGTTCATGTTAATGAAATTATTCAGTTCATGTTAATGAAATTATTCAGTTCATGTAATGAAATTATTCAGTTCATGTTAATGAAATTATTCAGTTCATGTTAATGAAATTGTAGAACTATAGCAATCTTCCATTGTGTCAGAAAATGTTTTTTTTAACTACATGTACCTTAAATAGGGAAAGAAGAAGAATAAGAAGAAGATGAGGAAGAAGTTACATTAAAAGAAATATTGCCCAGTTTGCAAAGACAATTGTTGTGTTAAACTTGTATTTTCTTGGTCTTGTTGCATTATTTTCTATTTTTGTCTCTTTCAGACATACGACGGTCATCTACCAATAAGGATTAAATCTGTACCCGAAGGAATGGTCGTCCCATATAAAAATGTTCTGTTCACAGTAGAAAATACAGATCCTAAATGCCATTGGCTAACAAATTACTTTGAGGTAAATTGCTTGTGACATTGTTTTTTTCCAGTTATAAATTATGCATGAATTAGTCATAAAAATGGGTTGAATTGGTTTGAAATATAATATGTGAGACAAAAAGTGCATTTTGCTTCAACAGAGGAAGGATATACATGTTTTATATACATGTATATAATAATTTTTGCGTGTATTTTTTGTAAGATATAGTTCCTTTTTGTCCCCTTTTCAGACCATTCCTTTTTACATAGGCCTGAAGTGCTTCCAAATTCTTGAGCTTAGCGAAAACAGTCTTGAAGTTGTATTATAATTTCAAGGTCATTAATTTTGCTGGGCTCTAGAATTCACAGGGTGAACAAAAATAGGCAGCAATTTACAACCAAGCCCCAGCATAATACCAAGATTTAAACATAATGTATTCCTCACCTTTACCAACTGAGCTACCAGCTTGTTGATAATTTGTCGATAATATTTTTTTCCCCCAATTTTCAAAAGTAATAATGTCCCGTCTCAATGAAATTGACGTCGGTGTTGTGATGCAATTAACTGTTGTTTATTATTTACTTTGTTGCTTGTTTTATTAACTCTTGTTGCTTGTGCAGTCAATATTAACTCTTGTTACTACCATTTCATTCAGCCAAGAGTCAAAACTTGTAGAAAAAGAAAGTCAATAGGCAAACACTGTATCATTCTGCATTTATTCTAGAAAATCTAATATACATGTACAAGTACGGAGTAGTGAAATACTGGTTTGTACTGTATGGAATTGTCAATGTCCTTGACTAGAAATTCATTGATTTTTGCCTGATTGCAAGAAGTAATTATTGGACTGCACAGGGATGTCTTTGATGTTTGCATGTTCAATTGAAATGATTTTCCAATTACTGTGGTTCACGGCTTACCTTGATATATACAGACTGTTCCAAAGATATGTGTACGTTGAAATATTTTTACAAAAATATTAAATATATGTACAGTAGAGGATATTCAAGTTTTTTCTTAAAATTCAGGATTTATTTTCATGGAGTGGTATGAAAATAAATATTTCACCAGTGGCAGTAGGCCACGAGTACGAGTGTAAATATGATAATTTTCATATCATTAGATGAAAATAAATCATGTATTTATAGTTTCTGACATTTTAATTTGAAAGACTCATAACGCCGTACATTTTGTGTTTTGGCTAAATTTATTAGAAAGTAAGCCTGGAAAGATTCCAGTGAAAATACGGAAAATAATATGTTTCACTGCAGAGAAAAATTAATTTTTACGATGAAAATACTGAAAAATGAAAAAGTGCATTTTATTTCATCAATATTTCAATATAAGTATATAATAAATAATGGGCTTTACCTTCTCTAATCATTGTTCAATTCAAGGGATAATAATATTAACCCTGACCATGCTAGATTTCTTAAACTGACTAATGTCCATCTTGAACTCTGGACAAAACCAATATACATTTTTATGGAAAATTTTGAAATATGAACTGACTGAATTGATAGCAAACAGTTAGTTCATATTTTGAAATTTTCCCTTAAAATGATGAATGGTTTGATACGAAAGATGGGCAGGTCAATTTGAAATATAAAGCATGGTAATGTTAAGATTACCCTTTAATTTCTTAGAAAATTGAAGTTGTTTTTTGACTAACCTTTGTAAAGGAACTCTACTGAGGTCTTAATAAAGCCTTAAAATATTTAATTTGAATTTCTTACATAAATCAGCTGGGACACTCAAAACAATAAGGTATGCAAAAGATAATTAAGAAAATGATATCAGAAATAAGCTCAAAATCTTATTTTTGTGCTATTCTGAGTTCGATTTTAACCTTAGTGGGGTCCCTTTAATATTGAGATTATTTTGTCTGCTTTGTTTAGACATGTACCATTATCTGCCCCTTTTATTAAGTACTAAAAATGTTAATGAACAAATACTGAAGGATTTTTATGATATTTCTATTTTTAGACACTGTTGGTTCAGGTCTGGTACCCGATGACTGTTGCCACCAACTCTAGGTACCAGAAAGAGATCATTGCCAAATACCTTGATGAAACTGCTGAAACTCTCGAGAAACTGCCATTTATGTTACATGACTTTGGTTTCAGAGGATCGTCTTCTGTAGAGGTATATACATGAATTATGAATAGTATTTATATGATATTTTATTTATGCATTGGATATACATGTAAATAAAATTGTTTAGTTGTATCTGATTGTAATTAAGTGTAATTTGTTACATTTTTGACAAGCTCTGGAATGCATTCATTTTAAAAATTCATTTTGTTTATGATACATTTTCTAGGAGTCACGGGTATTTCTGAAAAACACAGGTTTGATTTTACAGTACACAAATTTAACTTGGTTTAGACACTCACTGATTCAGTTTGACCATAGTAGGCAACGTCAGTAGGTAGTGACATTACATTGCTCTGACACTTATGTTCATGCTTTTGTTACTAATACTAGGTTCCTTATATGTATAGGGTGAGCATGGGATTAGTATTAAAGTATTCGAGGGGTTGCTGATTTAATCCTCAGGCATGACAACATTTTTCTTTTATGTCATCTCGGACATCGAGACAAATGATAATTTGAGCTGCGCCATGACAAAACCAACATAATGGGTTTGCGACCAGCATGGATCTAGACCAGCCTGCGCATCCGCGCAGTCTGATCAGGATCCATGCTGTTTGCTATAAGTTTCTTTACTTGTTATAGGGTCTGTAAACGAACAGCATGGAACCTGATCAGACTGCGTGGATGCGCAGGCTGGTCTGGATCCATGCTGGTCGCAAACCCACTATGTTGATTTTGTCATGACACGGCTCAATTTTATCTCTAACAACTGATTAAAAAATTATGTATATATTTCAGTCTGCAGGTATCGGAGGGTGTTCACATTTAGTAAACTTTATGGGCACAGATACGATAGCTGGGATTACTACGGCCAGAAGATATTACGGTTGTGACATCGCTGGATTCTCTATACCAGCTGCTGAACACAGGTTTCTTACCCTTTCTTACCCTTTTACCTGCTAAATCTGTGTAATGGATTTGTCCAGTTTTGAATTTGGAACAGTCCATTCAATCTTAAATGGTTGTTTCCATCTTTCCTTCATGACTAAACCATTTATCATTTAAGGGAAGTTTTTATAATAGGTATTGAATGAGAATAACAAAATGTGTAGATTATCATCAGATGGGACAGATGTGCTGGTTGACCTTTGTCTGCACTGTTTGAGTGGGTCGAATCAGTTGCTACTATCAGATTTAGAGACTTTCAATATCAATATACAAAAACTGAGCAACAAAGAGTATACAACCTGGATCCAAGGTTATAAAAGAAATTCCCAGAGCTCAAATTCAGGTCTGAAGTAGTTTATTGATGAGAAACTGCCACAGAACACTCACTGAACGATGAAAATCCTGAAATTTAGGACAGAACTCGGGCCGTAGGGCTGCCCTGGTCAGACTGCAGGGATATGCTGGCTGGTTACCTGTAAAAGCTGGAAAGTGACCTATACAACTTTCACAATATAAGTGTGATGAAAATTGTATTAGTTTTTAATTACCCTTAAAATAGATTTTTAGGCATCTGACCCCTGTCTAAATGATATGTGTGAGCTGTTGCTATGCTAGAAAATGATATTTTTGAAAATGATATAATATTTTACATAGATTTAGTATCAGGACTAAATTAGGGTAGTGTCCCTTCACTGGTATGATGGTGCAGCATAAATATGATCCAGTCTCTTAGAAGTTTATTACTCAGAAATAAATTGAAAATTGTAAACTATATTTGTGTTATTCTTAGCCAAATTTGAGTGAGAAGCATTGCAACTCTTTTTAATTAAGGTCATTTTACAAAATTAGAATAATTATTCTGGAAAAACATAGCCAGTGAATAATCTGAAATTTTACGTGGAGAACTACATCAAATGTAACATTATTCTTAGAAAATTATCGCTACTCCCATCATGTCAAAAAACCTCAGTGTAGTCAAGATATTTCAGTGAGACAGTGCTTCAAAGTTGAGCATTTTGTCAAGTGCCACTCGATTATACCTTAATTTATATTCCTAACAGAAAATTGAAACAGCTGTTTAAATCTATCACATACTAAATTTTCATAAATGAGATTCTGAATCAGCACTAAATGTGATTGTATTACAGCACTATTTGTGTTGTATTTCAGCAGTAAATATGACTGTATTTCAGCACTATTTGTGTTTTATTTCAGCAGTAAATATGACTGTATTTCAGCGCTATTTGTGTTGTATTTCAGCAGTAAATATGACTGTATTACAGCACTATTTGTGTTGTATTTCAGCACTAAATATGACTGTATTTCAGCACTATTTTTGTTGTATTTCAGCACTAAATATGATTGTATTACAGCACTAGTTGTATTGTATTTCAGCACTATTACTACTTGGGGTAAAGATGGTGAAGTTGAAGCATTCCGCAATATGTTGACAAGATTTCCTGATGGTTTGGTAGCCTGTGTAAGTGACAGTTACAACATCTGGGATGCCTGTGAGAAAGTTTGGGGAGGTAAACTGAAGAGCTTGGTTGAACAGCGAAAAAATGGTTCCCTGGTGGTGCGCCCCGATTCTGGTGACCCTCCAACCGTTGTTGTTCAGGTAAGCACTAATTATTGAAAAATGATTTTGGGAATCCCTATTACAACTTTATTTTGGTAAAGAACAACATTAAGTATTGTTAGTTGTTATTTTGATATGGAAATCCGTTAAATGATGGACAGTTTGAAGGAGAATAAGCCTTAAAATATAAAGTTATGATGGTTAATAAAACAGTTAACCATGAGCAAAACCTAAATTGGGAGCATTTAGAATTTGCTAAAAGATTGCTTTTGAAGATTTTGATATTTCTAGACACATTTTCAAACCACTTGCCTGCCCCTCACCACTGTGGGTTCGAACCCCAACAGGGACTTTTGGATCTTTTTTATCTGTTCATGCCTGAAATAATGCAAAGTAGGACACCTGCCAGGGGTCTTCCTCCATCAGTAAAGCTGGAATTTGCCATATAACCTATACTGTGCTTATGTGATGTAAAACCCAACAAAAAAAACCCAATATTTTTGAATTTACAGCATTTGGGCTTTAGATGCTTTACCATTTTAAAATGCAGTGACTTTAGTTACTGGATAGGTTTTGTCATATGTTTGTCTTTACTTGTATTATATCAAAATAATTTTGCAGGTTTTAGATATACTAGCGAAATGTTTCGGAAAGTCGCTGAACAAGAAGGGTTACTATTTATTGCCGCCATATATTCGTGTGATACAAGGAGATGGGATAAGTTACGAGACTTTGGGAGCTATCTTAGAGAACATGAAAATAAATAAATGGAGCGCAGAGAATCTTGCCTTTGGAAGTGGTGGAGCATTGCTGCAAAGATTGGATAGGGATACACAGAAATGTGCTTTTAAATGCAGTTACGCAGTGTGTAATGGAAAAGAGGTATGGTATACTTTGGGATTATTTTGATATGAAGATATTTTTGCCATGGCCTTTTGACAATAATTCTATAATCATTTGCTGAGTAAACAATAAAATATCTTAATTTTTAGCATTTGCTGTTAAAATTTTCCATATCAGGCTAAAAATAAAAAATAGAACACCCAAGCTTTTATCTGGATTTAATCAATGTCATGTACATATCTTTCTGGACACATGATACTGAAGTGTGGACAAATTAGGTAATTTTGATACCCTCCTTGATGAACCTCAGATATAAATGTAAACATAGTCAGAAATAAACAAACTAGTTGCTTAGTTAGAAGAAGAACCTAGCTATTATTTGTCAAATGCTTTAAAATTGTGAAATCTGGTTGGAAAAATGTTTTAAAAACGTGTCCAGTTGATCCTCAACCAGTAAATAGCTGCAATAGTGTTATGACGTCTAGATGTGAAGATAATGTACTATGAAAAAATATCTAAGTACTTTAACTCTTACTAAATTGTTAAAGAAGTCTTGCAAAAAAATGAAGAGTTGCTTCCCTTTAGAAATAATACAAATGAGAGGTGTCAGGCTCTCTTTATGATGCTTCTTGATAAAAAAATATAAAAAAATTGGTGTCTGTTTTTACACTGAGTAGTGAATATAATGTAAATGTGGATCCAATTTATTTCTTTGATATGATATTTGTCTAAACAATATGGTTTTCAACATTTCATAGATCAATTCACATCAATAAAGACTGCTGTTATTAATTAAAGAATTTTTATAAACATTAATTCATTTAAGCATCATTCTGCCAGAGCTTAACTGTTTATTTACATTTTATGTGCCTGAGATATTTCCAGGAATTCCAGGAATTTACTATTAAACTTGGATGCATATGTTTCAATTTATGTTTAAAGAATATAGAAAATCTTTACTATTTTTGAAGAAAATGTATCATGGTTAGACAAAATTGATTTTTTCTTCCAACCTTAAAACAAAATTATGATTAAAATGTCCCCAATAAAACCAAATAAGTTATATGTTATAATTTTTTATTAGAAAGATGGGTATATACCCTCATTACCATACAGATTAGCATGGTATATTGAGTGGTAAAAGCATACACATCTTATTGGCAGTGAAATAATATAATTGGATTTTATGATATACAGTATAACCTGTGTAGATTAACATCCTTTGGGAGACAAAGACTTTGGTTGTTTCTGAGAGGTGTGGCTCTAGAGAGGTTACATTTTAGAGGTTACATTTTAGTGAGGTCAAATTTTAGTGAGGTTAAAGTTTGGTGAGGTTAAATTTTAGAGAGGTTAAATTTAATCTGAATGTTTTTTTTGGAAGAAATATTACTGTTGTTGTCATAAGGAGGTTATTACTTTGAAGAAGACTGCTTTGCAGAGGTTATACAGTTTATTCATTGCATAAAAAAATGCTGAGACTAAAAGGTTATGGTCACTGACTTTGAATCTCTTAGCCCTTACAGCTGTATGAGTTGGACTCCGGCCAGGGACTTTTGATACTCTCATATGAGGAAACCGTCCAACTGGCTATCTATTTGGGTGCCTGGTTGTTCCCTACATTATACATAGAGGGGCATCTGAGATCTTCCAAAGATCTTCCTCAACCAGTATAGCTGGAAAGTTGGCCTTAATAGTGTTGCTGTGGATTGAAACCTAACCCCAAAACAATAAAAAAAATAAAAATAAAAGAAATAGATTATTCTTGTCTATCCAGTATAAATTATATATTCTTTACCTGTATTATTCAAATAGGTGAACGTCTACAAAGCTCCAATTACTGATCCTGGTAAGAAGAGCAAGAAAGGACGTCTGACATTAGAGAAGACGAAGGATGGGAATTTTGTCACTGTAGAAGAAGGGGCAGGAGATGTCAAAAAGGTATTGTGTAAACATACATTGTAAAACTTTGTGCGTAAATAAATTATATAACTCATAGAGTGGTTACCCTGGTTAGATAATTGTAGAGGGGTCCATATTTGCCTTTTTTGGGTCAGTAGGTCAAAGGTCAAGGTCAGCTTTATGTTGGTTGACATTGGTTCCTTGTTCTAACTGCACATTTATGAGATTTAAAAGGGGGGTTTGTATGTAAGATCTTTTTGTTAACAATATATTTGTTTAATAAATCAAAATATTAGAATGTTAGTTAAGATTGAAAATTGTTGTTTTTTCTTTTCCAGGATATTCTAGAAACTGTATTTGAGAATGGTAAATTGTTAAAAGACTTCTCATTTGATGAAGTTAGAGCTAACGCCGAGATTGACCTAGTTAACCAGAGAAAGAAAGAAAAGTCGGACAGTCAATAACAAGCTATATAATGATGCCTCGATAGCTTGATAGTAACATCACACTCATGTAGAGATCAACAGATTGTATGCCAGAAATTGTGAACAAGTTATGAATGAATGAAGAAAAAACTACCATCTTGAAACATGCCCTATTCAATGTGAAACAATATCAAAACATATCACTTTTGGATGCAAAATTTTTCATGCTTTTAGAACAAGTACAACAAAAGGGAAAACGTTTTACCCTTTCAGGATGAAATTCTTAAGTTAGATTTCTGAAAATAATTTCTATTCAAATACATATATATTGTAACTGTTGCTTTTATGCTTTTATGAACTTTGAAAAATATGGTATACATCTCGAAGCGATCTAGAAAAAGTAACTGTTTGTGGTGTCCAAAATTCATTTATACTGTAAAATAAGTAATTTTTGTGGTGTCAAAATTGTGTTAAATCAACATTTTTGATTTATTGACAAGGTCAAATATTGGCAAATTTCTACTTACAGTTCAGTTAAATTAATATGAAATATAAATACCAATCAAACACTAATATGAAACATAAATACCTATCAACACTTTTTTTGCAACTTCAGTTTGTGAATTTAGCAAATTTTAATCCCTTACGAAAATTTCTTATTTTACCATATCGGCAAGTTAAGTAAAAAATATCTTTGTTCAGGTTAAAAAGCAAAATTAATGTCTTCAAAATAATGAAAGTAATTAAAATTCAAAATTAAAGAGTTGTTACAAATGTTTAAGAGAATAATAAGGAAAAAATGTTTGTTTCTTATTATAGTAACACGTGAATAGTAATTGTAGTATAAAGAATTTTATTGTATGAATAAACTTGTATGAATAATCTAGTACTGCTATGATACTGACCAGTATACAGACACTACTGTTGTTGTACATGTCAGTTTGTTGTTATGGTATGTAGAAAACATGTTGTAATATTTTGTTGTCTTTTTTGAAAAAAAAATTCTTGAACAGTGAGTGAAGAATATAGTTATTGTCATTAACAAGAGCCAATGTTATATAAATTGAATTTGAAAACCAGTCTTAAATTCTAGCAGCTGATTGGCTAATTTTTGAATTTTGAATTGAAATTGGCCAATAGTAGAGCTGCATTAAGAGACTGGTTTCCAATTTTAGTAATGCAGTCTTGCTGCAAGCACTTTTGTGAAGATCTCTTTCAGGACCAACTACATAAGAGCACCATGCCTTTGTGAGTATGAGTAAATGCCTATGAATCATAAATTGTTTTATTTACAAATAAAAAGCCATATATTTATAAATTCATATACATGTACATGTATTATGATATATTTTCAAACGCATATATGTGTCATTCTTTTCATTGTACGGACTTGTGGTTTTGCACTTCCTTGGAGATTCTGCTACTATCAGGGACATCTAGAGATAAGAATTTGTCATTTGTTACACTCCAAATAAATTTCTATATTGATCTTAAATATGACCAGTTGTTTTTTCTAAAAGCCTTCTGTGAAGAAAGGCCAATAAAATAAAAATCTGTCAATAATGCTTACCATTTAAGGTTCTTTTTTGTTGAACGAATGAGGAAAATTGCCTGTGTTTAGACAATTTTGTCCATGTGCGTAGCATAATATTGAGAGCATGTGATTTGTTGCTGTCACTTGCAGAGAAATTGGCGATTACTGGTCAGTTATCCAGGAAAGCCAATTAGGCGGACCCACGGCCAAGATATAACAACAAGCCTCAAACAAGCTTTTAAATTCAAAGTAATTTTATTTTGTTAAGCATATTTGTGGTGAAAAGTGTATTTTTTGTATATTTGCTCTAAAGTCCTCCTACCATTGCATTGAAAATTCCCTGCCATTGTTATCATTCTACACTTAAACATTGTCAGATAGATATTGCTGGATGTAGCAGCAAGTCTCCAGATGTGTGTAAAATAAATCTTCGAAAAAATCACTTTGAGAAAAATATTATTTACAGTCTTACAAATGTCAATCTAATTAAAATCATAAAATCATGATTGTCGCTCCACTACACTTTGCTTACAGTAACGGAGCGAAAAACGATGATCTGATTTTAATGAGATTGAAGAAATGTTTGACAAATATTCAAAATTCAGGCAAAACTTCGACTGTATTATCTAAAATATTTGACAGAATTTTGTATTTTTATCACCAGATTTTTTCCTGTCACTAATGTCCCGACACACATCTGGAGTTGTGTTGTTTCACGTCTTTTTATCATATGCTCAAAATATGGCAGCACCCTGTAGTTCACATGTCCAAACCTTGCAATATGCCATTATAGATATTATATTGCCCCCCTTTTTAATCATAAACTGTACATTTATATATCACTTGCATGTGTGTATACACGCCATTAGTACGATGCCTGAAGAAAATATTGTTTTCATTCTTACATTACCAATTACCATGAAGAAAATTGAACATCTAGAAAGTAAAATGTAAAGGCTTTATAGCTTGAATATTACATTGTTTTAAATCGTTAGATGTTAGTTTAAACCTTTTTACAAGGTTGACAGGGTCTTTTTTAGATGGATTATTTATATACAGTAGAACTTCTATGTGTCCAACTTTGATTAGAAGATTTTTTTTGTTATGCCTTTTGTAACTCACTGGTAAATGTTGATGGCGTGAGATTTTGTCATTGAGATGAGACCTGAATTCATAAGTCGAAGGCCTGATGTCAGCAAGTACCTTCAACTTTGAATTTACAAAGTTCTACTTTATATATTATGTTAGTTATCTACTTTATGTTTTCTTATTACCTTAGTTATGAGTATCTTTTTTTTTTTTAACTAATTTACCTGAAATACATTTATAGCACAGTTTAAAGGCACATTATGCCTCGGAAACTAATTTATTTTACTTCTTTCGTAAAGGCAAACATAAATTTTGTAATGTTTAAATCACGGTTTTAGAGAATGTTAAATGCTTGTTACCTGAAGAAATTAGTGATAAATGTGAAATAATTTGTCAATAAAGTAGCAAAATGTAAACAAAGTAGTATTTTGACTTCCGTGCAAAAATACTAAATCACTAAAATGTACTTTAATTGCCATAAAGCAACAGAATAAAAGTTCACCAACATTAAAAGGCTTTTGATAAATAGAAATAAAAGAATGTATGAGGCATAATGGGCCTTTATTTGATTTTTGAGGTTAAATAACTCCTGTGCTTTTTTTTCCAAGTATAACATTCCTGAAATGAAAAATTATTCATGAATGGGTAAAGACTTGTAATTTTTGGATATATGTTACTCTAATTTTTATTGTTAGTTTAATAAAAGAAGGAACTGTAACTGCGAAAGTCAAGTACATAAATTTTTATGGTAAAGAAAATTTACTATGAAAGCAAGGAAAATTTACTATTAAAGTAAAGAAAATTAACTAAAAAGTGAAGAATATTATGAAAACAATAAAAATTAACAAAGAAAATGAAAACATTGACTAAAATTGACAGTAAATATATTAATCAACATTTACTATGAAAGTAAAAATATTAACTAACATTAACTATGAAAGTAACAACATTAACAAATATTATATATGAAAGTAAAGGGGAAAAACTATGCAGAGTTATGTTTTGTTTTTGTTCTGTCAACTTATATCTATTTTTTATCTATCAGTTAACTATCACGTAATCTGAGAGGTCTGGTGTGCAGGAATATATTGTTGTTTTGAATATATATTTTTGTGAAGTCCTACAAACATAGCCGTATTTCTTAGCCACAGAAATAGTATCAAAATTCTTCCATCTTCTAATTAATATGATAGCCTATTTATTGTATATATTTGGTAATTTATAGTAATATATATATATATGTGTGTGTATTTTAATAACTGATCATATTTAAGGCACATTGTGCCTGTTAAATAAATACATTTTTTCCTAGTTGAAAAGGACAAGTATGTGTTAATAATGTTTTTAAAAAAAAACTTGAAAGTGTACAAAATTGTACATGTACCACTTCATGGAATATATATTTTAAGTATATCCGATGTTACTTAATTGTTTAAGTTTGAAGTGCTTAGAACAGTTCTATTATGTTTGTAAGGAGTTTATGTCCTGAAATAATATAAAAGTTTAATATATTTCCATTTGTTATAAAGAATAGAGAGATGTATAAATGTTTGTGTAATATTTGTCTAAATACTTGCCTTTATATATATAATTGGTTAGAGAAAGTTATGACAAAAGTACACATTCTATTCTATGTATTTGCACATTTTGTAACCAGAATTAACTGTTGGCCAAAAGAATCTGTCTGTAGCCATTTTTTATGTATTAGAATTAGAATAAAAGGGTGGGATATAATTTTTTTTGTTAAAGGGACACCACTGAGGTTTTTGAAGTGACAGGACTGGAATTACTGTTTTTGAGATCAATATTCCTTTTGATGTAGATCAAAACCAAAAACTTATGTGCAAAATTTCAGAATATTTACTCGCTCTGTTTTTTCCAGAATGATTATTTTTATTATGAAAAATGACCCAAAATTGAAAAGCATTGCAATGTTTTTCACTTAAATTGGGCTTAGAAAAACACAACAATACAATTTTCATTTTATTTTTTAGTATTTTTCTTATTAACTTTTGCATTTCTGTCTGTTTTAAGTACCCCAGCTGATCTGTGTAAGAAATTGAAATTTTATGCTTTTATGCTTTTGAACCTCAGTGGAGTACCTTTAAGAACATTTGGGTTAAAAAAATAGTTTGAACTCCTGAAACATATGTATATGATGTTGTAAAATTTTAGGGATATGGAAATAGGAGCATTCTGAATGTTGAAACAAACAGTTTCTTTTTGCCTTAAAGTTAAATTTCAAAATATTTTGAACATGTATTTTATTTTATTTTTTCTCTATTTTCATACACATTTTTATAATATTTTTTCCTATTTTTTTATACAATTTACTCTCATAATTGTATGATATATGTTTACTGAACTGTTTTGTTAACATGTTATGACATACTTTTAAAGAAGTACACTTTTAGTTAAAATCTTCAAAAATCAAATTGAAGAAAAATATATGTATAGCCTAGAAAAAAAATATCTAAATATTCCAAAATCTATTATGATTCTACCTTTTACTGACAGAGTTAGGTTTTTCTTGCAAGAAATTCGTCTAATTTCTTAGGGTAGTCAGTGCATTGGGCTATATTAAAATACTTCAATTGTACAAAATTTTACATATGAGGACAATTTTCATAAAGTTCCATTGAAATTAACAGAAATATGGAAGCGAGCTCCTTAAAAAGTACAGATGTGACACTTTGGTATTCTATTTAGGCTCTTGAAGTCTTTATTTTATTTCATAAGGTCTTACAACTCCATTTAAGTGCAGAAAAGTGAATATGATGCTTTTGATTTTTGGAAACCAAAATTGGTATGCTTGCCACTAATATTTTGTCAGCACTGCCTAAAATCAGTTAAATAGTTAAAAAATGTTTTATTGTTATTTTCTGTAGCCTATGGTGTAATATAGATTCATTATATAGGATACTCACATTTTCCGTCTCTCAGATTGTTAGGCGATTACCTCTATGCTAATAAAATTAATCTTAATTACTGGGTTTGTCTGTTTGTTTTGTTTTTCTTTTGCATGAGATTGACTTTTAAGATGTTGCTGTATAGCTAATCATAGTCACAAAATTTGTTACTTCGCTAGCTCCCATGGAGTTTAGAGAATGTCAAAGACAGAGGTTTTATAATAATATATATTTTTAGCTCTACTTTTTTTGAAAACAAAAATATAGAGGTATTGTTACAGTCAATGGTGGCGTTGCCATTGCCGTCCGCAAACATTAACCTTGACCATAACATTTTAAGTTCTTAGTGTATTGTCTTCATACTTGGCCACAACAACCCTTGGGACAAGACATTTAAGCGGACCACACTAACCTTGACCTTCGTTTGTAAATGACCTTGATCTTCAAGATAAAATGTCTAAATTTTGCTTAATTTTTGCAGATATTTGTTATTAGTGTGGCTATAACTTTGTTGCTTTAGAATGGATTGCCTTCAAACTTGAACAGAATAATCTTCTAGGATAGACCTTTAAGTTAACCAGACAGGCCTTGACCTTCACTCATAAATGACCGTGAAAGTCAATGTATTTAAATTTTCATATTTTTGCTGTAACTGGCTATAACTTTGATAAGACACAACATTCTGTAGGATATGACCTTCATGTATATCAAACTCAAAATGATATTGACCTTGAAGGTTAAATTCTTGAAATTTGACTGATTTTTGGTATTATTGACTGTACCTATGAAAATTATAAGTTGATTATGGTCATACTTGAACAAAACATCCTTTAGGATAAGACCTTCTTAAATGTTGAACTTATTGAATTTTGGTTTAATTGTCAGAATTTTGTTATTTATGTACGATTTGATTTATACTTGGACTAAAGAATACCTGTTTCCAAACAAACATTTTGAATGATTTAGATGTGACCTTGATCTTTAATTGACCACAACTTTAAATGTTAAATTAATGAAATGCTCTTTTTCCGTAACTGGTTATAACTTTATTTATTTATAACTGGATTAACTTCATATTAGGCACAACACCTTTTAGGTCAAGACCTTCATGTTTATTAAACTTAAATTGACCTTGACCTTAAAGGTCAAATTATAGAATTTCTACTAATTATTGCTGTAATTGGCTGTAACTTTGTAATTAAACAATGGATTATCTTCATATTTGAACAAAACAACTTTTTTGACAAAACCTTCTAAACAAATGATCTGACCTTGAGTTTTAAAAGACCTTTACAGTCCAGGTCAAATTATTAAAATTTGGTGAAGTTGTCATAATTTTGTTATTGATATATTAATTTGATTTATATGTGGACAAAACAACACTAGTGACCAAAAAAACATGTTGAATAATTTTGTTATGACCTTGAACTCAAAATGACCTTGACTGTCAAATGATTGAATTCTGCTGATTTTTAATTATTGTGTCATTTATTTATGAAAATGATTCATACTTTTGTCCGGGACAAAGTTAAAAGTGTAAAAATGAACAAAGGGTAATATCTTTAAAATTTGGGATGGGAGGGTTACTGTTCTTATTCACAGCCTTTCTAGTCAGTGAGATCTATCTACTTACAAAGTTTTAAGTTGATACCTTTAAAAGTTCCGAAGTTATGTCCCGGAAATTTTTAAAGTGTGAAAATGAACAGGGGCAATAACTCCAAGATTAGGGAAGGATGGGTTATCGTCTGATGCACCACATTTCTACTACTTCAGATCTATCTACCTACAAAATTTAAAGTTGATATCTCTTGTTCATTCTGAGTTATGTCCCGCACAAGAAATCTGCAACGGACCGACCACCAGCTGACTCCAGTGTACCGAAACAGTTTGTTTGTCTGGGAATAATTGTTACCATTGGGTCAAAATTGGTCCCTCCCCAAGGAGTCATGGCTTTTACATATATATTTTCTACGTAAAAAATCTTCTTGAAAATGATAAGGGTTATATCTTAGATATTACGAATAAAACAAAGTATGGTGGACCTCAACAAAAATTATAACTCTAGTGTAAAAATTGCCATCACCCCGGGGAACATAGATTTTCGTTAAACATGTATATGACTTCTCATAGCAACCAGTGACTCCATAGCAACCATTGTCTTCTATAGCAACAAGTGACTAACCATAGCAACCAATGACTTATATAGAAACCATTGACTTTCCAAGGCAATCATAGGCCTCTTTAGCAACCACTGACTTTCCATAGCAACCAGTGCCTGTCCATGGCAATCATTAACTTAACAAATCAATCAGTGACCAATAATGCAACAGTGTCGACTTTCCAAAGCAACCAGTGACTTCCATAGCAACTACTTCTTTCCATAAAACCCTATAAACCAGTGACACATAGCTACAGTACTCCTTTTACTTTATGCCATGCTAATAAAAGCGCATGAAATGGCGTTGGTCCAACTCTGAGCGGCCTACAAGATGATTATAATTTTCGGTTTAAAACAGTGTTGAACAAGAGCAACATTGTCGCAATATACGCCCATCACAGAAGCTTTTGACAGAAATGTGGGCATTAACGATAAGCATATAAGAGACATTATCTGGGCAATATCCAGAAAATATCGATATTTTATCATATTAAGTGATTATTTATTTGAATTTTGATCCCTACGTGTGACCTAGCTTGACCTTGGCCGAAGGGACCTAAATTTTGCGCACAACACCCCGCCTCACAATAGTGAACATTTTTGCCAAGTTATATTGCAATCCCTCTATGCATGTAGAAATATGGAACTAAATTACATGTTTCACACCAGTAGTCATGATAATGTCCATTTGTGTTTCGTTTATTTGTTTGTTTGTTGTTTGTTTCATTTTCCAACAGTATTTCAGTCATATAGGCGGGTAATTTTCTAACCATTGTTCCTCGAGAGTTATACCAGTACTAGACTACCTTCTTCCGCGCTAAACTACCAAAGCATCTCCCGGGGATCGAAACCACGCCAGAGAGGTAACTGGATTAGAAGTCATCGACTCTAACCCTCGACCACGGAGGCGGTTCCATTTGTGTTTCAATCCCTCAATAAATAATGACTAATTGGTCCCAATACACATTTTCATATTTTTATCTGAACTTTGACCCCTATGTGTGACCTTGCCTACAGGGATTTTGCACGCGACACTGCCTCGCAATAGTGAACATCAGCGCCAAGTTCTATAGAAATCGTTCTATACATGTAGAAGTTTTACACCGGACAAACATTTTTCGATGACCTCTAAGTGTGACCTTAACCTTTGACCTAGAGGCCTTGTTCATGCGCACGACATGGATTCTAATAGTGGTGAACATTTGTATGAAGTTTATTTTAGAATCTCTCCATATGTGTAGGAGATATGCTCTGGATATTTATATAAGTAACTGGAGTCGAAGGTATGTTAGTTTTTTTTTATATAAATTGAAAAAATGTTAATTAAGATTATTTTTTTCTACCATAAATACCTCAGTACGTAATAATATAGCTCATGTACAATACATATTCTGACTGTTTAAATTAACAATAATGCTTCAGGACGCTTCGGGACACTAAATTTCTTCGGGACGCTTTTTAGTGAGACCGTCTAAATGGTCCCAATATACATTTTCATATTTTTATCTGAACTTTGTCCCTTATGTGTGACCTTGACCTAGGTCGCAAGGGTAGTCAGACTATTCTCTCCCTTACCAGTTCCTGCCCTGACGTTTCCTCTCTGACGGTTCTCTCCCTATTTTGGGGGAGAACCGTCTGCATATTTGCAAATAAGCAGACAGTTCCTCCCCATTTATATTTTTATTAATACATTATTATTGAAGTATTTAAATGTTACATAAATGGGTAAGTTTATTATTAAATGATATAAAGTAGAGAAAAAATACTTTATTGATGTTAACTAAATGGGTAAGTTTGTAAATAATTGATATAAATAAAAAAAAATATTTTATTGCAGTATATAGATAAATTTTGGTAAGTTTATTAATAATTGATACAATTAAATTAGAAAAAAAAAACTTTATTTTTTTTTTTTTTTTTTTTTTCACCAATACTCCTTCACATATAAACATGTGAAAATTTACCCCAAACAAAAAATCAAAAAAATTATATAAAAATTGTGAAAAAATCTGGTAAATCATTTTTTTCCTGATTTGTTAATACAATTTGTTCATGATTCATTAAATGAATCATAAATAAATTGTGCTTTTACTGGAAAGAAAAGACCCCATTTATTATAGATTCATTACAAAAGACAGATTTATTAACCATTGATTACCAACATGAAATATATTCAATACAATTTATTGTAAATTCATTACACTTGAACTGGAATGTATACAATTTATTCATGATTTATTGGAAATAGAACTTTTCCCGACTGCATTTAATACCATTTATTACAAATTCATTACACTTTAAAGTTCTGAGATATTCGATCACAAGTTGTTCATGATTCATTAAAATCAGAGATTTTCGAGGATTTATTCATAACATATTCATTGTACTTCAGATGTTCATAATTTGCTTAATTATAACAGAAATTTTCATTGATGTAGGTCCTTTTGTTTTACTGTTCATAACAACTAAACCCCTCTCAACTATACAAATATTTTTTTTTAATTTCCCTTTACTCATTACCGTACTTGTTTTTAATCAGTCACTGGAAAATATATATGGGTTTTTCAAGTCTCTTAGTTTAAGCATCACCATATTATTAATTCCATGCTCAGCGCAAAACGTAAAAAAGAGTCAATTATACAATCTCGTTTTACTGTTAAATATGTCTAACTAATTTGCATGTAGATTTTATTTTTGAGTGATCAAGATCAGTTTTTGTCTTTCTTTATTGTTAATACGCAATCTGATCCATACCCACGGCTTTTTATGATTAGATCTATCATTATCATTAAAAAAAACTGTCGAATAGATTAACGTATATGCGTAAAAAGGTAAAATGTCGTAAAAAAGCGACTTAATTCTCTCGGACTTAACATCTGTTGTTAGTTTATTGTTTTGAACAGCATGGCTCCCAGCCGCGC